GCACCCACAGGTCATTGATATATTGCAGGAAGGCAATGGAGGGAGGGATGGTGCCCGAGAGTTTGTTGGAACGAAGCCCCCTGCAGCAGCATGGGAGGGCGGCAAAACAACACCAAGGGGAGTAGTGAGAGTAAATGGGATGGGAAGGGATCAGTGCTAAGTGGTCCTCATTTAGAATTTCTGATCCATGCACATCAGGAACACAAATACAAGCTAGATGTTAGGTGCGATTCAATGGTGTGTCCGGTTTGTTAATGCAGCTACAATTAAAGCTGCGCGCATGTAGCTCACAAGTAAGTCATCATGCTGAGTGCACCCAAAATGGAAGGGACGTCTTCAAGCTGGTTGTTTGAGAGGTCCCTGGAAAAGATAATGGGTGGAATGGAAGTATCAAATTGAAGGCATAACAGCAGGTGAGAAGGAGAAACAGGTCAAAAGGAAAAATAAGGGCAAAAAGCACAATAAAAGACTAGTAGTAATGTTCAAACAACAACGAGCAACAAGGGCTGATTATATGTCTGTGTACTGGGTGGGCGTTGTAGTGGGTTAAATCTCGCATTATCATTTCTGATGGCCTATTACAAAAGTAGCCGACTATGGCCCAACTTTTGTTCGGGTTCATCCTGTTCATATTCTACGAACCTATACTGAACATGCCCTATCCGTTAGTTACAGAATCACCAGCAGCTTGAATCTTAATCCCACTTGACAAAACAAATAAAATCGCAACGAAGCCAACCTTCCATGGCTCCTACCTGCCTTCCCTTTGACACAGGTTCGCACAATCAATTTGCGGCTGTGACAGGGTGTTGTGTGCAGCTCACAGGAATTCCATTTGCATTAGTTCTCCAAATGTTGTGGGAATGTTGCCCGAAAGCTGGTTGCCTGAAAGGTCACTGGAAAAAGGCGTGCAGGGCAGAGGAAGGACGATAGGAGGAGACCTGGGGCGAGCACGAGTGAGTGAGACTAAGAGAACTGATGTGCATGAACGAGGAAAGGCAGGCAGGGATGGCAAGGGAAAGGATGCATCGGGTTGTGGTGGAGAGGTGTGACTGACAGTTTGGTCAGGGCGACCATGGAACCAATCTCCTTGGGGATGGGACCAGACAGTTGGTTGGAGCTCAGGTCGCTGGAGGAACAGCAGAGTCAGTGGATTGGATGAATGAACAGCACAGAATAAGGAAGCAACCGTGGAAGCCAAAATGGTGCGAAATCATTGTTGAAGCTGTTAAGACGAAACAAAACGTCTTGCTGGCTGGGTGTGGAGGGTGGAGCAGCAGCAGTGATGTACTGGCAGTGGCAGCACGGCACCCACAGGTCATTGATATTTTGGAGCAAGGCAATGGACGGAGGGATGGCGCCCGAGAGTTTGTTGGAATGAAGGCCCCTGCGGCAGCATGGGAGGGCGGGAAAACAACGCCAATGGGAGTAGTGCCAGTAAATGGGATGGGAGAGAAATAGTGTTAAAATACGCAGCTCAAGTTGTAGAACCTTACTAAGATTGACGGTTGGGAGGGTGGGTTGCTTGGTTTCACCCAGCTTTCTTGCTGTCTCAGCAAACCCCGGGGGGCACCTCGTGTTTGGCTGCAGAGTCCCATATTGCACACAGATGTGTATCTTAAAGTTTCCCAAACTAGTTGCGTTCGACAATCACAGCAACCCTTGCGGTGGCCAATCAAATGCCTTCGTCCATTGAGTAACCACGATTCACCAAAAATAACAATTGCAAAACAACAACTCGCCGAGAAAAAAAAACATTACCCAAGCAATCCGCAACTAGGTCCGTGGGCTTTACGTGATCTGCAATTTGAATTTGTCATACATGTGGATCAGCAGAAAGCAATGTGTGGCGTACAGATTCGTAAGGCTGATGAGGGAGCCAATGGTGTCAGGGATGGGTCCAGAGAGCTTGTTGTAAGAGAGGGACCTGGTGGTTGGGGATACATTCATACGATCGGGCATTGGGAAGCACAGGCGATGGTGATTCGGGTTGCAACGGATGGTGAGTTAGGCGAGGGGAGAAGCAAGAACAACGAGAAAAGAAGATACCCGATTTGCAATACATGTACTGGACTCACAGGCTGTGAATGAGCAAGGTGGCGAACACCTGTTCGGTTCGCCTCGAATGTTTTTTAGCTCAAATCGTTCGCCGAACAGTGTTCGATGTTTGCCCGAACACGTTCGTGTTCGGGCCGCTGCTGAAATTTGCCCGCGACGAACACGAACAGTGTTCGAGGTTCGCCCGAACACGCCTCCACAGGCGAACAGCGAACACCTGTTTTTTCCTAAACTGTTCGCCGAACCGAACAGTGTTCGGTTCGGCAAAAGAGGGTGTTTGACAAGGGGCGAAGACGAACATGTTCGTGTTCGCCCTTTGCTCATCCCTACTCACAGCTGGTACACAAATACAAGCTAAACGTTTGGTGTATATCAATGATGCATCCGGTTTCACAATGCTGCTACAATTCCACCCTGCACGCATGTAGCTCACATGTAAGACATCATGCTGAGAGCACTCAGAGTGGAAGGAACGTCTTCAAGCTGGTTGTTTGAGAGGTCCCTGCAAAAGATCATGGATGGAATGGAAGCATCAGATTAAGGCATAACAGCAGGTGAGTAGGAGAAACACGTGAGAGGGAGAAATTAGGGCAAATGCACGATGGAAGACTAGTAGTAATAAAGAAACAACATGCAGCGAAGAAGAAATGGCATGTTGGAAAAAACGAATGCATGCTGTGTTTGATTAGATGTACTGGATGGATGTTGTAGTTGGATAAAGCTCGCTTCATCTTCTCTGATGGGCGGGCCTATTTCAAAATTTGGCCAACTTCTGTTCGGGTTCATTTTCTTGTTCATATCCTACAATGCGATACTGAACATGTCTTAGCCTATGGTTATGGAATCACCTGCACTTCAAAACATTATTCCATCGATCAGACAACAAACGCCTTCACATTGACACACGTTCGTACAATAAATTAATGGCTGCGACAGGGTCTTGTGTGCAGCTCACAGGAATTCTATTTGGATGAGTGACCCAAAGGTTGCAGGGATGTTGCCCGAAAGCTGGTTGTCCGAAAGATCACTGGGAGAAAGACGTGCAGGGTAGAGAACGGAAGGAGAGGAGGTGGGGCGAACGAGAGTAAGTGAGACTTCGAGAATGCATGGGAAAAGAATTATATGTGCATAAACGAGGAACGGCAGGCAGGGAAGGCAAGGGAAAGGATGTCACGCGGTGTGGTGGAGGGGATTGACTGACAGGTTGGTGAGGGCGACCATAGAACCAATCTCCTTGGGGATGGGACCAAACAGTTGGTTGGAGCTCAGGTCGCTGGGGGTTTGGATCATGGACAGCAGAGAGTTGAAAGTGAAAATGAATAAGAAATGAAAGATGAAGCTGCTGAGATGAAACAAAGCATTGGGCTGGCTGGGTGTGGAGGGTGGAGTAGCAGCAGTGGTGCAGACGCACAGCAGCATCAGTGACAAACTGGCAGTGGCAGCGCAGCACCCACAGTGCGTTGATATTTTTCAGCAAGGCAATGGACGGAGGGATGGCGCCCGAGAGTTTGTTGGATTGAAGGCCCCTGAAGCAGCATGAGAGGGCGGTAAAACAACGCCAAGGGGAGTAGTGCCAGTGAATGGGATGGGAGGGAATCAGTGTTAAAGCTCAAAGCCCAAATTGCGGGCCGCGCAGGGCAAGATTAGTAATCTAGCACACTTCTCGTTCTTTGTGCTGTATATTGGCAAGAATCTGGTTACGGTAGTTGCGACGCTATCTGATTGGTCGAAGCAACACTCACTGCCAAAACATCAAGTTTCACTACACTGCCAAAACGCACGCTCCCACCTGAAGCTTGCTGACTCAGCGAAAAGACAAGTATTGGGGCAAAGTCAGACAAGTCAACAACCACCACCCCCCAGCCCAGCACCCAAACTTGCGCAAGATTAGCCTTGAGCTTTAAGTGATCCTCAATTAGAATTGTTGACAGACGGGCATCAGGAGAAAGTAAAATGAGGCGAACAGATTTGTAAGGCTGGTGAGGGAGCCGATGGTGTCAGGGATGGGTCCAGAGAGCTTGTTGTAAGAGAGGGACCTGGTGGTTGGGGGTTCATTGGATCGGACATTGGGATGCACTGGCAATGGTGAGTCAGAGGCAAAAGGCTGGGCAAATTGGCGAGGGGGGATAAAAATAGAGAGTCCAATCGTGGTACATGTATAGGACTCACACTTGGTACACGAATACAAGCCAAATGTGTGGCGTGTATCAATGCTGCTACAGTTCTATGTGCATGCATTTAGCTCACATGTAAGACATCACACTGAGTGCACCCAAACTGGAAGGGACGTCTTCAAGCTGGTTATCTGAGAGGTCCCTGCAAACGATCACGAGATTGGAGGCATAAGATCAGGTGAGAAGGAGAAACAAGGTAGAGGGAGAAATAAGGGCAAAAGGCACGATGGAAGACTAGTAGTAATGAAGAAACAACAATGAGCAAACAAGGACTGGTAGGTAAGTGGGAAAAACAAAAAAAAAACAAACAAAAAAACCCCAGTGTGATTCATTTGATGTAGACATGAGCAAACATTTGACCCTGTTCGATTCAAACAATACCTGTTAGAAAACCTGTTCGAGTCCGGTTCGCCTTGACCAAGTGTTTGAGAACTGTTCGAGTCGAACGTGTCTAATTTGATGTCTGTGTACTGGGTGGGTGTTGAAGTTGGTTAAAGCCCAAACTATCATTTGTCATGGCCCAATTACACTAATTTGACATCCTTGGATCAATATTCTGATTGGGTTCATTTAGTACTTATCATGCCCTAGCCTTCAGTACCAGTACTTATCATTTTGTACATCACCGGTACTTTGAATCATAATCCCACTTGACAACAACTCCATTCGGTGCCAATGCCAACCTTCCATGGATCCTAACTGCCTTCACTTAGACACAGGTTCGCACAATCAACTCTCGGCTGTGACAGGGTGTTGTGTGCAGCTCACAGGATTTCCATTTGAATGAGTGCTCCAATGGTTGCAGGGATGTTGCCCGAAAGCTGGTTGTCCGAAAGATTTCTGGGAAAAAGGCGTTCAGGGCAGAGGAAGAACGGAAGGAGAGGAAGTGAGGCGAGCACGAGTGAGTGAGACTCCGCGGATGAATGGGAAAAGAATTGTGCCTAAGGAAAGGCAGGCATGGATTGCAAGAGGAAGGTTTCAACGAGGTGTGGTGGAGTGGGCTGACTGACAGTTTGGTGAGGGCGACCATGGAACCAATCTCCTTGGGGATGGGGCCAGACAGTTGGTTGGAGCTCAGGTCGCTGGGGGAACAGCAGAGACAGTGGATTGGATAATGGACAGCAGAGAGTAAGAAAGTAACTGTGAAAATAAAATGAAAAAAAAAAAAAAAAAAAAAACAGAGCCTCGCATCCGGCTGGGTGTGGAGCGTGGAGTAGCAGCAGTGGTAGCGAGGTACAGCAGCAGCAGTAACGGATTGGCAGTGGCAGCGCGGCACTCACAGTGCGTTGATATTTTTCAGCAAGGCAATGGACGGAGGGATGGCGCCCGAGAGCTTGTTGGAATGAAGCCCCCTGCAGCAGCATGGGAGGGCGGCAAAACAACGCCAAGGGGAATAGTGCCAGTAAACGGGATGGGAGGGCTTGCAGCAACTGGTCCAGCAGACAGACCTAACTCGACAATAATGACACTGCCAATCAACCACGCAAATTTGTGTGGCGTACAGAGTTGTAAGGCTAGTGAGGGAGCCGATGGTGTCAGGGATGGGTCCAGAGAGCTTGTTGTGAGAGAGGGACCTGGTGGTTGGGGGTTCATCCGATCGGGCATTAGGAAGCACTGGCGATGCTGACTCGGAGGCAAAAGGATGGTGAAGTAGGCGAGGGGAGAGGCGAGAAGAACGATAAAAATAGAGACTCCGATCGAATCTTTCATCTCTGGGACTAACAGTTGGTACACAAATACAAGCTAAGTGTTTGGTGTGTATCAATGGTGCACCCGTTCAATAAAGCCGACGCTACAATTCCAGCTGCGCGCATGTAGTAGCTCACATGTAAGACAACACACTGAGTGCACCCAAAGTGGAAGGGACGTCCTCAAGCTGGTTGTTTGAGAGGTCCCTGCAAAAGATTGAAGGCATAACAGCAGGTGAGAAGGAGAAACAGGTGAGAGGGAGAAATCTGGACAAAAGGCAACATGGAAGATAATGAACAAACAAAGAGTCAACAACAAATTAGAAGTACGAAAATATGAATTCTTGGTGTTTTTTATGTGATCTCTGTGTACAGGGTGGGTGTTGTAGTTGGGTCCCATTTGCACTAAATTCTCGCTTTATCGTTTGTGATGCGCTTTTACACTTTGTGCTCATCTTTGCATCCAAATTTCATGTGGGATAGCTTTCTTGTTCAATACTATACATAATTTGCCCTATCCTTTGGTTGGGGTCTCACCTGCATTGAATCTTAATCCCAGTTGACAATTACTTTTTGTAGCCAAGCCAACCTTCCATGGCTCCAAACTTTGACAAAGGTTCGAACAATCAATTCTCGGCTGTGAGAGGGTGTTGCATGCAGCTCACAGGAATTTCATTTGGATGAGTGATCCAAATGTCGCAGGGATGTTGCCCGAAAGCTGGTTGTCCGAAAGATTGCTGGGAGAAAGCAAGGTAGAAAAAAACGATTGTCGAAAAATACGATGGTTTTTTTCGATGGTATTTTACGGTACCTTTTGGGAAAAAAAAGTCGTTTTTTTGTTAGACAAAAAAAACTCTTCAACTTCAAAGATGCTGTTCTGATCACAAAAGCACTTCTAACAATCTTCCGCTGCATCATCAGCACTTCTAACGGCCCCCTTGTTCTTCTCACCAATCAATCCCCTTGTTTCAGCAGCAGTTTTGGTATTTTTACTGAAAAAAACGAAGGTTTTTTTGCACCAAAAGTATATATTTTCAAAAACCGTTTTTTTATCGTTTTTTACGATCGTTTCTTACGATACGGTATTTTACGATCAAAATTTGAAAAAAACGTCGTTTTTTTGCACCTTGGGAGAAAGGCGTGCAGGGCAGAGGAAAAAGGAAAGAGAGCAAGTGTTGCGAGCACAAGTGAGTGAGACTCCAAGAATCCATGGGACAAAAATCGGGCGTCCATAAAAGAGGACAGGCAGGTGGGGATGGCTAAGGATGCAACGAGGAGTGGTGGAGGGAAGTCACTGACAGTTTGGTGAGGGCGACCATGGAACCAATCTCCTTGGGGATGGGACCAGACAGTTGGTTGGAGCTCAGGTCGCTGGGGGAACAGCAGAGACAGTGGATTGCATCATGGACAGCAGAGAGTAGGAAAGTAGCGGAACTTTTAACAGAGCATGAGAGTTTGTTGGAACGAAGCCCTCTGCAGCAGCATGAGAGGGCGGCAAAACAATGCCAAGGGGAGTAGTGCAAGAAAATGGGATGGGAGGGAAACATAGTTAAGAGGTCCTTAAGTAGAGATTCTAACCTGGGATATCAGGAAAAAACAAAGTGTGGCGTACAGATATCTAAGGCTGGTGAGGGAGCCGATGGTGTCAGGGATGGGTCCAGAGAGCTTGTTGTAAGAGAGGGACCTGGTGGTTGGGGGTTCATCCGATCGGGCATTGGGAAGCACATGCGATGGTGAGTCGGGTTGGAGGCAAAATGATGGTGAAATAGGGTAGGGGAGAAGCGAGAAAAACGAAAACAAAGGAGACCCCAATCGCATGATGCATGTCTGGGACTCACAATTGGTACACAAATACAAGATAAACACTTTGTGTGTAGCAATTGTGCGTCTGATTCGTAGTGCCGCCGCCACAAGTCCAGCTGCATGCATGTAGCTCACATGTAAGTCATCACGCTGAGTGCACCCAAAGTGGAAGGGACGTCTTCAAGCTGGTTGCTTGAGAGGTCCCTGCAAAAGATAATGGGTGGAATGGAAGCATCAGATAGATGGCATGACAGCAGCTGAGAAGGAAAAACAGGTGAGAGGGAGAATTCTGAGGAAAAACGTATGATGAAAGACTAACAGCAATAATCTAACAGGGAGCGATCAAAAGTGGGGGAAAAAAAAAAAGATGCTTGGGGTGTTTTATTTGACGTCTGTGTAGTGGGTTGGAGCTCTGGCTGATTAACGCTTGGTTTCATCATTTCTTTATGGCTATAGCACACTTTTTGTTTTCTGTTTGGGTTCATTCTCTACTTCGTATCCTATACTATACATGCCCTAGCCCTAACATCACCTGCCCTTTTAATCTAAATCCCTCCTGACAACAAACTCCTTCCGACGCCAACCTTCCATGGCTCCAAAGTGCCTTCACTCTGACACAGGTTCAGGCAATTAAGTCTAGGCTGGGACAGGGTGTTGTGTGCAACTCACAGGAATTTTATTTGAATGAGTGCTCCAAAGGTAGCAGGGATGTTGCCTGATAGCTGGTTGTCTGAAAGATCACTGGGAGAAAGGCGAGCAGGGCAGAAGAAGAACGGAAGGGGAGGAAGTGAGGCGAGCACGAGTGAGTGAAACTCCGAGGATGCATGGGACAAGAATCGGATGGCATAAACGAGGAAAGGCCGGCAGGGATGGCAAGGGGAAGGATGCAACGAGGCAAGATGGGGGGGAGAGACTGACAGTTTGGTGAGGGCGACCATGGAACCAATCTCCTTGGGGATGGGACCAGACAGTTGGTTGGAGCTCAGGTCGCTGGGGGAACAACAGAACAGAGACAGTAGATTGAATTTTGGACAGCAGAGAGTAAGAAAGTAACAGCAAAATTCAAAATGATTCAAAAATGAAAGTTGAAGCTGGTGAGATTGAACAGAGCATCGGGCTGGCTGGATGTGGAAGGTGGAATAACAGCAGTGGTAGGGAGGCACAGCAGCAGCAGTGACGGACTGGCAGTGGCAGTCCGGCACCCACAGTGCATTGATATTTTCCAGCAAGGCAATGGAGGGAGGGATGGCGCCCGAGAGTTTGTTGGAACGAAGCCCCCTGCAGCAGCACGGGAGGGCGGGAAAACAACGCCAAGGGTAGTAGTGCCAGCAGATGTGATTGGAGAGAATCAGTATTAAGTGGTCCGCAACTACTATTTCTGATCCATGGGCATCAGGAAAAAACAAAGTGTGCCGTACAAATTTGCAAGGCTGGTAAGGGAGCCGATGGTGTCAGGGATGGGTCCAGAGAGCTCGTTGTAAGAGAGGGACCTGGTGGTTGGGGGTTCGATTGATCAGGCATTGGGAAGCACAGGCGATGGTGAGTCGGAGGCAAAAGGATGGTGGCATAGGCGAGAGGAAAAGCGAGAAGAACAAAAAAAATGGAGAATCAAATCGAGTGTCACATGTATGGAAGTCACAGCTGTTACATAAATTAAGCTAAATGCTTTGTGTGTATCAATGGTGCCTCCGGTTCAATAATGCCACTACATTTCCAGCTCCATGCATGTAGCTCACAAGTAAGTCATCACGCTGAGTGCACCCAAAATGGAAGGGACGTCTTCAAGCTGGTTGTTTGAGAGGTCCCTGCAAAGGATAATGGGTGGAATGGAATGGACGCATCAGATTGAAGCCATAACAGAAGGTGAGAAGGAGAAACAGGTATCAGGGCAAAAAAGCACGATGGCAGAGTAGTAGTAATGAACAAAGAACAAAAAGAAAACATCAGTGGGAAGTGGGATATATATACACATATTACATATATAGATATATATACATACACTGTGTATGATACACATATGTATTCTGTGTGTGTTTGATTGGATGTGTGTTTACTGGGTGGATGTTAACGCTCGCTTTATAGCTATCTTGATTTATATCCTATACTGAACATTCCCTTGCCTTTGGTTAGGGTATCACCAGCACTTAGAATCCGAATCCCGCTTGACAACAAACTTCTTTCGCGGCCAACCTTCCATGGCTCCAAACTGCCTCCATGTTGACACAGGTTCGCACAATCAATTCTCGCCTGTGACAGGATGGTGTGTGCAGTGCAGCTCACAGGAATTCCATTTTGATGAGCGCTCCAAAGGCTGCAGGGATGTTGCCCGAAAGCTGGTTGTCCGAAAGATCGCTGGGAGAGGCGTGCAGGGCAGAGGAAGCACGGAAGGAAAGGAATTGAGGCTTGGGAGATGCATGGGACAAGAATTGGTTGTGCATAAACGAGGAAAGGGAGGCACGGATGGCAAGAGAAAGGATGCGACAAGGTGTGGTGGAAGGAAGTCACTGACAGTTTGGTGAGGGCGACCATGGAACCAATCTCCTTGGGGATGGGACCAGACAGTTGGTTGGAGCTCAGGTCGCTGGGGGGACAACAGAGACAGTAGATTGGATCATGGACAGCAGAGAGTAAGAGAGTAACAGTGACACTGAAAATGATTCAAAAATAAAAGTTGAAGCTCGTGAGATTGAACAGAGCATCGGGCTGGCTGGATGTGGAAGGTGGAATAGCAGCAGTGGTAGGGAGGCACAGCAGCAGCAGTGACACACTGGCAGAGGCAGCGCGGCACCCACAGGTCATTGATATATTGCAGCGAGGCAATGGAGGGAGGGATGGCGCCCGAGAGTTTGTTGGAACGAAGCCCCCTGCAGCAGCATGGGAGGCGGCAAAACAACACCAAGGGGAGTTGTGAGAGTAAATAGGATGGGAAGGGATCAGTGCTAAGTGGTCCTCATTTAGAATTTCTGATCCATGCACATCAGGAACACAAATACAAGCTAGATGTTAGGTGCGATTCAATGGTGTGTCCGGTTTGTTATTGCAGCTACAATTAAAGCTGTGTGCATGTAGCTCACAAGTAAGTCATCATGCTGAGTGCACCCAAAATGGAAGGGACGTCTTCAAGCTGGTTGTTTGAGAGGTCTCTGCAAAAGCTCAATGGATGGAATGGAAGCATCAAGTTGAAGGCATAACAGCAGGTGAGAAGGAGAAACAGGTCAAAGGGAGAAATAAGGGCAAAAAGCACAAAAAAGTACTAGTAGTAATGAACAAACAACAACGACCAACAAGGGCTGATTATATGTCTGTGTACTGGGTGGGCGTTGTAGTTGGTTAAAGCTCGCGCTATCGTTTCTGATGGCCTACTACAAAGTAACCGACTATGGACCCAACTTTTGTTCAGGTTCATTTTCCTCTTACAGAATCACCAGCAGCTTGAATTTTAATCCCACTTAACAAAAAAAATATAAAAAAATCGCCACCAAGCCAACCTTCCATGGCTCCTACCTGCCTTCCCTTTGACAGAGGTTCGCACAATCAATTTCCGGCCCTGACAGGGTGTTGTGTGCAGCTCACAGGAATTCCATTTGCATTAGTTCTCCATATGTTGTGGGAATGTTGCCTGAAAGCTGGTTGTCCGAAAGGTCACTGGAATAAAAGGCGTGCATGACAGAGGAAGGACGATAGGAGGAGACGTGGGTCGAGAACGAGTGAGTGAGACTCAGAGGATGCATGGGACAAGAACTGGTGTGCATGAACGAGGAAAGGCAGGCAGGGGTGTGGTGGAGGGGAGTGACTGACAGTTTGGTCAGGGCGACCATGGAACCAATCTCCTTGGGGATGGGACCAGACAGTTGGTTGGAGCTCAGGTCACTGGGGGAACGGTGGATTGGATGAATGGACAGCACAGAATACAGAAGCAGCGGTGAAAATAGAATCGTACAAATATCAAAGTTGAAGCCGTTAAGACTAAACAGAGCATCTTGCTGGCTGACTGTGGGGGGTGGAGCAGCAGCAGTGGTAGAGACGCACAGCAGCAGCAGTGACGGACTGGCAGTGGCAGCATATCACCCACAGCTCATTGATATTTTGTAGCAAGGCAATGGAGGGAGGGATGGCGCCCGAGAGTTTGTTGAAATGAAGGCCCCTGCAGCAGCATGGGAGGGCGGCAAAACAACGCCAAGGGGAGTAGTGCCAGTAAATGGGATGGGAGAGAATCCGTGTTGAAGCTCAAGTTGTTCAGCCTCGCTAAGACTGACGGTTGAGAGGGAGGGCTGCGTGGTTTTGCCCAGCTTCTTGCTGTCTCAGCAATCAGATCTGTATCTTGACGTTTCCTACTACTCGCGTTCGACAGTCACAGCAACCCTTGTGCTGGCCAATCAGACGCCTTCGTCCATTGAGTAACCACAATTCGCCAAAATTATCACTCGCAAAACAACTCGTCAAGGAAATAATATGTTCATCTGAGCAATCCGCAATTAGGTCCGCCGGCTTTGAGTGATCCCAATTTATAATTTGTCACCCATGGGCATCAGCTGAAAGCAAAGTGTGGCGTACAGATTTGTAAGGCTGATGAGGGAGCCGATGGTGTCAGGGATGGGTCCAGAGAGGTTGTTGTAAGAGAGGGACCTGGTGGTTGGGGGTTCATCCAATCGGGCATTGGGAAGCATAGGCAATGGTGAGTTGGGTTGCAATGGATGGTGAGTTTGGCGAGGAGAGAAGCAAGAACAACGAAAAAAAAAAAAAACACTAATTGCGATACATGTACAGGATTCACATTTGGTACACAACTGCAAGCTAAACGTTTGGTGTATATCAATGGTCCGTCAGATTTAACAATGCTGCTACAATACCACCCTTAGGGATGAGCAATATTACGAACTCCTGTTCGGTTTGCCTCGAACTTTTTTTGGCCTAAATTGTTCGGGGCGAACGTGTTTGGTGTTCGCCCGAACACGTTCGCCGTTTGCCCGGCTCAGCTTGCCGAGGCGCGTCGAACACGAACGTGTTTGTGTTCGACACAGGCCTTCGACGAACACCAATGTGTTCGTCGACGAATAGGCCCGCGACCAATTTTTAGGTTGCGGGCCTTAGTGTTTGGGCTCAGATCTGGCCTTTGGCAGTTAGTAAAGTGCGGATCGAGCATTTCGCCGTTGCTTAAGTGCGGATCGAGCATTTTGCCGTTGCTTAAGTGCGGATCGAGCATTTCACCGTTGCTTAAGTGCGGATCTAGCATTCCGCCGTTGCTTAAAACCGGAGGTCCAAGAGTTTCTAAGTTAGGAAGGTTGAAAGGGGAGAGAAAGGTGACTGGCTCGCGAGTCAGGGTGGTGCCGAAATTGGTGGTCTGGGGTCGCAAAGGAAGAAAATTTTGCGAAAATAATCAGATCTGGAATGCAACGTCAGGACTGGTTCGCAGAAAGTTTCGGACGGGCTTCAAGTTTGTTGGCGAAATCGTCACTGCTTTCGTCCTCGCTATAACAGTAGTTTCGCGTGACGAAAATTGTCCCCCCTATTTGCGAAGTGAGTCGTACCTACTGGGTCACCCCTTCTCAAAGTTAGGAAGGTTGAGGCACTTTGGGGCTGTTTGGGACTCCGGTTGTAAGTGCGGATCTAGCATTTCGCCGTTGCACGCTGGCACTAGATGGATGAAGCAGGGCGGGACTGGCTTGTGAGGTGGGGGGAGGGAATGTGCAACGATTTGAATTTTACTCTATATTGAATTTCCCCCTGGGCAAACACGAACATGTTCGCCACGAACATGTTCGTGTTCGCCTGTTGCAGCAATTCGTTCGCCTCCTAGGGCGAACAGGGAACACCTATTTTCACTCAAGTCGTTCGCCGAACCAAACACTGCTCGGTTCGGCAGAAGGCCATGTTCGTCAGGGGGCGAACATGAACAGGTTCGAGTTCGCCCCCTGCTCATGCCTAACCACCCTGCACATATGTAGCTCACATGTGAGACATCATGCTGAGTGAACCAAAAGAGGAAGGGACACTTTCAAGCTGGTTGTAGAGATGAGCAAAGGGCGAACACGAACATGTTCGTCTTCGCCCCTTGTCGAACACCCTCTTTTGCCAAACCGAACACTGTTCGGTTCGGCGAACAGTTTAGGAAAAAACAGGTGTTCGCTGTTCGCCTGTGGAGGCGTGTTCGGGCGAACCTCGAACACTGTTCGTGTTCGTCGCGGGCAAATTTCAGCAGCGGCCCGAACACGAACGTGTTCGGGCGAACATCGAACACTGTTCGGCAAACGATTTGAGCTAAAAAACAAAACCTGTTCGGTTTGCCTCGAACGTGTTCGAGGCGAACCGAACAGGTGTTCGCCACCTTGCTCATCCCTAGCTGGTTGTTTGACAGGTCCCTGCAAAAGATCATGGATGGAATGGAAGCATCAGATCAGACGTGAAGGCAACAGAAGGTGAGAAGGAGGAACATGTGAGAGAGAGAAATTAGGGCAAACGCATGCACGATGGAAGACTAGTAGTAATGAAGGAACAACAAGTAGTAAAGAAACAAAGAACGCATGCTGTGTTTAATTAGATGTACTGGATGGGTGATGTAGTTGGTTAAAGCTCGCTCCATCAACTGTGATGGGCGGGCCTAATAATTATTATTAAAATTGACATCTTTTGACAAAACTTTTTTTCGGGTTCATTTTCTTGCGATACTGAACATGCCTTAGAATTTGATTATGGAATCACCTGCAGTTCAAACCTTTATCTCATCTAACAACAAACGTCTTCACTTTGACACAGGTACGCACAATCAATTCTCGGCTGTGACTGGGTGTTGTGTGCAGCTCACAGGAATTCTATTTGGATGAGTGCTCCCAAGGTTGCAGGGATGTTGCTCGAAAGCTGGTTGTCCGAAAGATCACTGGGAGAAAGGCGTGCAGGGCAGAGGAAGAACGAGAGGAGAGGAGATGGGGCGAGCACGAGTAAGTGAGACTTCGAGAATGCATGGAAGAAGAATCAGGTGTGCATTAAAAAAACGAACGGCAGGCAGGGAAGGCAAGGGAAAGAATGTCACGAGGTGTGGTGGAGGGGAGTGACTGACATTTTGGTGAGGGCGACCATGGAACCAATCTCCTTGGGGATGGGACCAGACAGTTGGTTGGAGCTCAGGTCGCTGGGGGTTTGGATCATGGACAGCAGAGAGTTGAAATTTGAAATGAATAAAAAATGAAAGATGAAGCTGCTGAGATTAGACAAAGCATTGGGCTTGCTGGGTGTGGAGGGTGGAGTAGCAGCAGTGGTGCAGAGGCACAGCAGCAGCAGTGACAAACTGGCAGTGGCAGCGCGTCACCCACAGAGCGTTGATCTTTTTCAGCGAGGCAATGGATGGAGGGATGGCGCCCGAGAGTTTGTTGGATTGAAAGCCCCTAAAGCAGCATGAGAGGGCGGAAAACAATGCCAAGGGGAGTAGTGTCAAGTGATGTGTGTTAAGTGATTCTCAATTGGAATTGTTGACAGATGGGCATCAGGAGAAAGTAACGTGTGGCGTACAGATTTGTAAGGCTGGTGAGGGAGCCGATGGTGTCAGGGATGGGTCCAGAGAGCTTGTTGTAAGAGAGGGACCTGGTGGTCGGGGGTTCAATTGATCGGGCATTGGGAAGCACAGGCGATGGTGAGTCGGAGGCAAAAGGATGGTAAAATTGGCGAGGGGAGAAGCAAGAAGAACAATTAGAAATGGCAACTCCAATCGTGTTACATGTATAGGACTCACGTTTGGTACACGAATACAAGCTAAATGTGTGGCGTGTACCAAAGCATGTAGCTCACAAGTAAGAAATCACGCTGAGTGCACCCAAAGTAGAAGGGACGTCTTCAAGCTGGTTGTTTGAGAGGTCCCTGTAAAAGATCATGGGTGGAATTAGGGATGAGCAAGGTGGCGAACACCTGTTCGGTTCGCCTCGAACACGTTCGAGGCGAACCGAACAGGTTTTGTTTTTTAGCTCAAATCGTTCGCCGAACAGCGTTCGATGTTCGCCCGAACACGTTCGTGTTCGGGCCGCTACTGAAATTTGCCCGCGACGAACACGAACAGTGTTCGAGGTTCGCCCGAACACGCCTTCACAGGCGAACGGTGAACACCATTTTTTGCTCAAAGTGTTTGCCGAACCGAACAGTGTTCGGTTCGGCAAAAGAGGGTGTTCGACAAGGGGCGAAGACGAACATGTTCGTGTTCGCCCTTTGCTCATCCCTAGGTGGGATGGAAGCATCAGATTGCAGGGAGAACTAAGGGCAAAAATTACGGTAGAAGACTAGTAGTAATGAACAATTTACAACAAGCGAACAAGGACTGTAAAATGGGAAAATATGAATTTGGTGAGAAAATAAGAATTCTTTGTCTGTGTAATAGGTGGGTGTTGTAGTTGCTTAAAGTCCAATTCAGCATTGTGTGTCGGATTACCATCTTCACTGTGACCTGCATCTATCCTATAAGCTTTGGCTAGAGATAGGCACCCAAACTTAGTTTGGGTGTACAACTAGGGCTAACCCTAGTTTGAGGATGGAACCCAACCTTGGCCCAATTATTGGGCCCCCAAGGTTGGGTTGGGAGATTATTGCCCCCCCCCAATAATGTTGATCCACTTTGGTCAACATAATTGGTCCCCCCAAAAACTCCTCAACCCAACTTACTGGTGGGGGCCAAAAATGTTGGCAAGGTTCCTCCATCCTAGCTAAACTATGTAAATTCATGTATCTCCTAATCAAAATATCGGTTCTTCTTCAATCTTTCTCACATTGTGCTGGCCCTATGACAATTTTTTGACATCTTTGGATCCATATTCTGTTTGCGTTCATATCCTTCTTATTCATATCCCTTGCTTCACATGCCCTAGCCTTCAGTTAGGGTATCACTGGCGCTTTGAATCTTAAAACCACTTGACAACAAACTTTTTTCGCCACCAACCTTCCATAGCTCCTACCTAACAACTTTCACTTTGACACAGGTTCGCACGGTGTGACACGGTGTTGTGTGCAGCTCACAGAAATTTCATTTGAATGAGTGCTCCGAAGGTTGTAGGGATGTTGCCCGAAAGCTGGTTGTCCGAAAGATCACTGGGAGAAAAGCGTGCATGGCAGAAGAAGACCGGAAGGAGAAGTGAGGCGAGTACACGTGAGGGAGACTCTGAGGATGCACGGGACAAGAGTAATGTGTGCACACACGAGGAAAGGCAGGAAGGAATGGTAAGGGAAAGGAAACAACTATGAATGGTGGAGGGGAGTGACTGACAGTTTGGTGAGGGCGACCATGGAACCAATCTCCTTGGGGATGGAATCAGACAGTTGGTTGGAGCTCAGGTCGCTGCGGGAACAGCAGAGACAGTAGATTGAATCATGGAAGGCAGAGAGTAAGAAAGTCAGAGTGAAATTCAAAAAAAAAAAAAAAAAAAAAAAAAAACACACACACACACACACACACACACACACGGAGACACACAGTTAAGATTATACACAGCATCGGGCTGGCTGGATGTGGAAGGTGGAATAGCAGCAGTGGTAGAGAGGCACAGCAGCAGCAGTGACAGACTGGCAATGGCAGTGCAGCACCCACAGTGCATTGATATTTTTCAGCAAGGCAATGGAGGGAGGAATGGCGCCCGAGAGTTTGTTGGAACGAAGTCCCCTGCAGCAGCACGGGAGGGCGGGAAAACAACGCCAAGGGGAGTAGTGCCAGTAAATGGGAGGGTGGCAAATCAAAGCGAAGGGAGTATTTCTCAGTAAATGGGATGAGACAGTCATTGTTAAGCGGTCCCCGATTAGAATTGTGGTCCGTGGGCATGAGAAAAGGGGAAAAGTGTGACGTACAGAATTGTAAGGTTGGTGAGGGAGCCGATGGTGGCTGGGATGGATCCAGAGAGATCGTTGTATGAGAGAGACCTGGTGGTTGGGGGTTCGGCCGATGGGGCATTGGCAAGCACAGGTAAAGGTGAGTCAGGGTGTAGAGCAATGGTGAAATGAACAAGGGGAGGAGCGGGAAGAAGAACAGGAAAAATAAACAAGAAACAAAGAGAATCCAATCACATGTCACATGTATAATGAGACTCATTTGGCGCACCTATCTGTATACAAGCTAAATCGCTTGTGTGTATCAATGGTGCATCCTGCTTTATCATGCCGCAACGAATAGCAGACAGCTGTAGGCATGATGTCGCTCACATGTAGGACAATCGGCTGAGGGCAAACAAAGTGGAAGGCATATCAGACAGTTGGTTGTTCGAAAGGTCCCTGCAGAAGGTAATGGGTGGAGGATAGAAAGCATCAGGTCAGGGGAGAAGGAGAAACAGGTTAGAGGGAACAATCAGGGAAAGGGAACAATGGAACAATATTAGTAATGAATGAACAACACAGATTGAAGGGTGTTGCATGCAGCTCACAGGAATTCCATTCGGATGAGTGCTCCCAACGTTGTAGGGATGTTGCCCGAAAGCTGGTTGTAGGAAATATCACTGGGAGAACGGCGTGCCGGGCAGAGGAAAAACGGGAAGGGAAGGAAGTGAGGCGAGAATGAGTGAGAGGGGGTTGGGGGATGCATGGGACAAGAATGGGGAGTGCCTAAACGAGGAAAGGCAGCAGGGATGGCACAAGGTGAAGTGGAGGAGAGTGACTGACAGTTTAGAGAGGGCGACCATGGAACCAATCTCCTTGGGGATGGGACCAGACAGTTGGTTGGAGCTCAGGTCGCTGGGGGAACAGCAGAGACAGTGGATTGGATGAATGGACGGCAGAGAATTAGGAATTGCCTGTGAGATTCAACTATAATATGTAGACAAACTTAGCGTTGAATCTGTTATGATTAAACAGAACATTGGGTTGGCTGGCTGCGGAGGGTGGAGTAGCAGCAGTGGTGGAGAGGCACAGCAGAAGCAGTGACAAACTGGTAGTGGCAGTGCGGCACCCACAGTGCATTGATATTCTTCAGCAAGGCAACAGAAGGAGGGATCGATCCCGAGAGCTTGTTGAAAGAAAGCCCCCTGCAGCAGCATGGGAGGGTGGAACAATGCCATGGGGAAGGTTCAAAAATACGGTTTTCATAAAAAACGGTCCGTTTTTTACAGTAATTTTCCAAAAAACCGGCGTTTTTTTGTAAGAGAACTGTTGTCACCAAGAAAAAAAAGGGAAAAACAAGGTCGAATACATTTTCAATCATGCCCAGAAGCGCACGCATGCAAGGAGGGGTTCGTCCTCTTCATGCTGGTGATTTTCGCCATCAATTTGGTCCCACAAATGGCCAATTTTTTCTTCAAACGAAACCACCTTCTGGAACCATTTTTTACCGATTTTTACGGCCGTTTTTTACGGTCGATTTTTACGGCCGTTTTTTACGGTAATTTTTCAAAAAAACGACGTTTTTTTTAACCCCATTGGGAAGTAACTAGGGATGAGCAAAGGCGAACACACTTATGTTCGTGTTTGCCTTGCCTCGAGCACTCGTGTCGTGTTCGGCGAACCGAACATGCTTGTGTTCGGCCAAACACAACCTGGTGAAGGAGGTGTTTGTTCAGTGTTTGCCCAAAAAGAACACCAAGGTGTTTGGCCCGAACACGAACATGTTTGGGGAGAACATGTTCGTGTTCGCCTGTAGGCAGCCTTCGTTATACTCACTGGGTTTAGGGATGGTGGATTTTGGCGTCCAGGGTGGTTTTGCTCTACCTGGTGTAGACATGAGCAACGGGCAAACACCCAACATGTTCGGTTCGCCTTGCATGAACATGTGAAGGTCGGTTCGCCCGAACAGTTTTTGGTGATTAGGGGTGTTCGAGGTTAGTGATAGGGAGCGAGCATCTGCATGAACGGGGCGAATCCAAACATGTTCTGGTTCGAGAGTGTCTTCTCAGTGGGTCGCCTCCTCCCCCGTCCCCCCTCCCCCCCTTCTTCCATCAAATCCGCGAACATCGAGCATGTTTGCCCGAACACATTTGGCCAAAACAAATGTTTGGTTCGGCTCAAACATGTTTGCGTCAAGTGTTCGCCCTTGTGCTCATGTCTAGGAGTAGTTCTCAGTAAATAGGAATGGAGGGAATCAGTGGTAAGTGGTCCGTGGGCATTAAGTAAAGGGAGAAAGTGTGACGTACAGATTTGTAAGGTTGGTGAGGGAGCCAATGGTGGAGGGAATGGATCCAGAGAGCTCATTGTAAGAGAGGGACCTGGTGGTTGGGGGTTCAGCCGGTGGGGCATTAAGAAGCACAGGCTATGGTGAGTCAGGTCAGGGTGTAGAGCGATGGTGAAATGAGCGAAGGGAGGAGCTGGAAGAACAAAAATAGAAACAAACAAGCAAAGAGAATCCAATCACATGCTAGATGTATAATGAGACACAAGTGACACACGTATCCGTATACAAGCTAAATCATTGGTGAGTATCAATGGTGCATCCTGTTTTATAATGCCTTGAAGCCAACCGCAGACATGCTGTCGCTTACATGTAGGACAATCGGCTAAGTGCAAACAAAGTGGAAGGCATGTCTGACAGCTGGTTGTTTGAAAGGTCCCTGCAGAAGATCATGGGTGGAAAAATCAGATTGAAGGCATAAGATCAAATCAGGGGACAAATCAGGGCAAAAAGCAAGATGGAAGACTAGTGGTAACTGGTGAACAATAAGGACTTAAGGGTGTTGCATGCAGCTCACAGTAAATTCATTTGGCTCAGTGGTCCCAGCGTTGCAGGGATGCTGCCCACAAGCTTGTTTTCCGAAAGATCACTGAGACAAAGGCGTGCAGGGCAGAATAAAGAACGGAAGGAAGTGAAGCGAGCACGAGTGAGAGAGGCTCGGAGGATGCAAGGGAAAGGCAAGAATTGGGATTGCATAAACGAGGAAAGGCAGGAAGGGATGGCAAGGGAAATGATGCCACAAGGTGGGGTGTTAGAAATAGGCTGTCAACATTTGTGTACTCTATTTTATATCCCATAGGTTACTTGTACATTGGGTGTAGATATGTAATCCCAAATTTGTTGGAATTTCCCCGTAATCCAACCAGTCTGCTAGAGATCTGGCTGGATTTCCATCTCACCTGTTCCCTATCTTTGCTCAACCCAACAATGTTTGTAACTAAGGCCTAGTGCGCTCTAAACTAATCTATCATTTGTAGCTTCAAATTTTACAGATGGGAGTGACTAACAGTGTGGTGAGGGCGATCATAGAACCAATCTCCTTGGGAATGGGACCAGACAGTTGGTTGGAGCTCAGGTCGCTGGGGGAACAACAGAGACGGTGGACTGGATAAATGGATAGGAGAGAATAAGGAAGTAGCAGTGAAAATCAAAACGATTCACAAATGAAAGTTGAAGATGTTAAGGTTAAACAGAGCATTGAGCTGGCTGGCTATGCAGGGTGGAGTAGCAGCAGTGGTAGAAAGGCACAACAGCAGCAGTGACGGACTGGCAGTGGCATTGCGGCACCCACAGGACATTGATATTTTTCAGCAAGGCAATGGAGGGAGGGATGGCGCCCGAGAGTTTGTTGGAACGAAGCCCCCTGCAGCAGCACGAGAGGGTGAGAAAACAACACCAAGGGAAGTAGTGCCAATGTGATGGGAGAGAATCAGTATTAAGTGGTCCCCAGTTGGAGTTTCTGGTCTGTGGCCATTAGGAAAAGCAGAAAAGTGCGGCGTACAGATTTATAAGGTTGGTGAGGGAGCCGATGGTGGCTGGGATGGATCCAGAGAGATCGTTGTATGAGAGAGACCTGGTGATTGGTTAGGATCCGATGGGGCATTGGCAAGCACGGGAGATGGTGAGTCAGGGTGTAGAGCGATGGTGGATTGAGAGAGGAGTGTAGCAGGAAGAACACAAAGAGGCAAAAAAAAAAAAAAACTCACACTCACACAAAAAAAGTACAGTATCAAATCACAGGTTACATTTATAATCAGACACAATTGACACACATACCCATATACAATCTAAATCGCTTGTGTGAATCAAAAGTGAATCTTGTTTTATTGTGCCGCTACAAATAGCAGCCAGCTGTAGGCATGATGCCGCTCACATGTAGGACATTCGGCTGAGTGCAAACAAAGTGGAAGGCATGTCTGAAAGCTGGTTGGCTGAAAGTTCCCTGCAAAAGAACATGGGTGGAGGATAGGAAGCATCAGGTCAGGGGAGACGGATAAATTAGGGCAAAAGCACGATGGGTTTATATTACTAACGAATGAACAACACGGAGGGTGTTGCATGCAGCTCACAGATATTCCATTTGGATGAGTGCTTCCAACGTTGTAGGGATGTTGCCTGAAAGCTTGTTGTCCGAAAGATCGCTGGGAGAACAGCGTGCCGGGCAGAGGAAAAACGGGAAGGACAGGAAGTGACGCGAGCATGAGTGGATGAGGGTCGGAGGAGGCAAGGGGCACAGGTTCACAGCTGCGACAGGGTGTTGTGTGCAGCTCACAGGAATTTCATTTGAATGAGTGCTCCAATGGCTGCAGGGATGTTGCCCGAAAGCTGGTTGTCCGAAAGATCACTGGGAGAAAGGCGTGCGGGGCAGAAGAAGAGGAAGGACAGAAAGTGAGGCGAGCATGAGGAATCGGGTGTGCATAAACAAGGAAAGGCAGGCAGGGATGGCAAGGGAAAGGATGCCACGAGGTGTGATGGAGGGGAGTGACTGACAGTTTGATGAGGGCGACCATGGAACCAATTTCCGTTGGGATGGGACCAGACAGTTGGTTGTAGCTTAGATCGCTGGGGGAAAAGCAGAGAAGACACAGTTTGAAACTTGAAATTATTTGAAACTGAAAGTTGTAACCTTCTAGACTAAACAGAGTATCGGGCTGGCTGGGTGGGTGTCGTGGAGGGTGGAGTACAAAAAGTGGTACAGAGGCACAGAAGCAGCAGTGACGGACTGGCAGTGGCATTGCGGCACCCACAGGACATTGATATTTTTCAGCAAGCCAATGGAGGGAGGGATGACGCCTGAGAGTTTGTTGGAACGAAGCCCCCTGCAGCAGAATGGAAGGGCGGCAAAACAACGACAAGGGAAGTAGTGATGCCAATAAATGGGATGGGCATTACAATTGGAATTTCGGATGGACATCTGGAAAATAGCAAAGTGTGACGTACAGAGTTGTAAGGCTGGTGAGGGAGCCGATGGTGTCAGGGATGGGTCCAGAGAGCTCGTTGTAAGAGAGGTACCTGGTGGTTGGGGGCTCAACCGGTTGGGCATTGGGGAAGCAGAGGCAATGGTGTCGGCGTGCCAACAGATGGTAAAAACAAATTGTTCCAACAGGCGAGAAGGGAGAAATGAGAAGAGTGAAAAGAGGAGAATTCAGTCACGTGCAAGATACAAATGTTTGTGTGTTTATTTAGTGCTTGTGGGTTATATCATGCTCCTACAGTACCAGCTACAGCAGGTAGCTCACATGTGAGACAGTATGCTGAGTCCACTCAGAGTTGAAGGGATGCTTTCAAGCTGGTTGTATGAAAAGTCCCTGCAAAACATCATGGTTGGAATGGAAGCATCAGAGTGAATACATAATAACAAGTGAGAAGGAGAAACAGGTGGAAGTGATAAATTAGCACAAAAGCACGATGTTATTATAAGTTCTTATGAACAGTCAAGCAAACCGGCAAGCAATGGGAAGTGGAACATTTAGATTTCTTTGGATGTTTTGGTTGGTTAGAGTCCTTTTTGGCCAACGTTGGACGCAACTTCTGGAACGGGACGGAAAGGAAGATTGGGACAAGAATCGGGGAGCGCATAAACAAGGAATGGTAAGGGAAGGATGTGACGAGGTGTGGTGGAGGGGAATGACTGACAGTTTGTTGAGGGCAGTCATGGAACCAATCTCCTTGGGGATGGGACCAGACAGTTGGTTGGTACTCAGGTCGCTGGAGTGAAAGATAAACAGCAGAGAAAAAAGGAGGAGCGATGAAATTGAAATTGAAGGAAAAAAAACAAAAAAATATGAATTGAATCCATGTAATCTAACAGTAACTGAGTGGCAGTGGCAACGTCGCAACCCACAGTGAAACGATGTATTTCAGCAAGGCAATGGAGGAAGGGATGGAGCCCGAGAAATTGTTGTTGTAGAGGCCCCTGCAGCAGTGTGGGAGCAATAATGCAGGGAGAATGAGTGTTGTGGCAATTTCTGGCCCCTTGGCATCAGAAAACGACAGATAATGTGTTATGTGGTCATTGATTGGAACTCTAATCCCCATGATTCCCCTGGACTTCCTGGGCAATCCCTTGACACCCCTGGACCTGGAGTTCCCTGGCATACCTTTGGCTTCCCTGTTGATGTTATGGTGGGGCAAATTTGCAGGCACAGGGAGGCAAGGCAAGCATTGCTCGAGCTCGGACGAGCATGCAAAAAAACTCGTCCGAGTTTTAAAAAACTCGCCCAAAAATACAAGTAACAAGTACGCAAGAAACTCCAAAATGCTCTTCCGAGCTTTGCTCGACTCGGGGCAAAACTCGGACGAGTTTGACCCTGGACTCAACTAGTCAGTTTGCCCATAGTAGGAAAAGGCACGGGGACCGTGTGTCGTACAGAAATGTTAGGCTGGTGAGAGAGCCGATGGTGTCAGGGATGGGTCCAGATAGCTTGTTGTATCCGAGGGACCTGGTGGTTGGGGGTTCATCCGATCGGGCATTGGGAAGCACAGCCGATGGGGAGCACGGGTGATGATGAGTCGGGCTACAAACAGATGGTAAAATAGGTGAGACGAGAGAATCTAGAATAAGGAAACAGTGGAGAATGGAGCAACCAGTTAGCTGTTAGTTAGATGTTTGTGGTTCACACATGGTGCAGCAAGATTGTTTGGTGTGCCTCAATGGTGGCCAGTAAATTTGTTCAGCTGTGATACCAGCTAGACATGAGCAACAATGTTACTGCTATTAACTCACTCCACCTACTATTCCTCCTCCTCAATCTCATGCACTCAAAATAATAAGTGTTGTGTTTAAACCATCAGAGGGCCATTCCAACGACCGGTTCACCAAGGATAACATGGCATGCGTGTGACAGACATAGCATATGTGTATCTTACATGACAGACATTACGCTGAGTGTACCCAATGCGGAAGGTAGGCGTGAAAGCTGGTTATTTGAGAGGTCTCTGCAATTGATAATGGGTGGCAGAATCGTATCGGAGGCATAAGAAAATCTAAAAATCATACAAAAGAAAGGAGGCGTGATGGCGTACCAGTAATGAGAAAACAGGAAAATAGAGCAGGAAAAGAAAGAAAAGCAAGTATGTACTACTCCATTTTCGCCATAAAAAAGGAACGCAACCATCTTTCAATGGCTCTTAATTGCCTTCACTTCGACACAGGGTCGCATGGTCGCCTAACTATGAAACAGGGTGTGTTGCACGCAGCTCACAGGAAATCCATATTGATAAGAGCTCCCAAGGCTGCAGGGATGTCGCCCGAAAGCTGGTTGTTCATAAAAACACTGGGAGGTGGTCGTGCAGCGGAGAGAAATCATAGAAGGGATTGATGTAAGGCAAGAACGAGTGAGTGAGAGATGGAAGATGTATGGGACAAGAATCGGGTGTGCATGAACAAGGAAAGGCAGGCAGGGAGGGCAAGGGATGCAAGGAGGTGTGGTGGAGTGGAGTGACTGACAGTCTGTTGAGAGAAGTCATAGAACCAATCCAGTCAGGGATGGGGCCGGACAGCTGGTTATAGCTCAGGTCGCTGGGGGCACAGCAGAGGCAGTGGAGTGGAGGGTGGAGAGGGAAGAATGTGGAGGTGGCAGCTACTACAAGACACTCTTATTTAAAGGCATTGGTCTTGGCTGTAGTGGGTTGGAGCAGCAGACGTGGAGAGGCAAAGCAGCAATAACAGTGGCAGACTGGCAGGGTGGCAGGCTGGCTGTCAGTGGTATTGCAGCACCCACAGTCCATATAGATTGCCAAGTAAGGAGATTGCGGAAGGGATGGCGCCCGAAAAGTTGTTGAAGGAAAGGCCCCTGCAGCAGCATGAGAGGGTGGCATGCAGCACAACTCCAAAGGAGTGGCAGATAAAGAAGGCAATTGGCATCAACTGGTCTGGCATTGAGTTTGGAGTTCCAATCTATTGACATATAAGCACGAAGAAGGCCGAGTTTGACAATAATGACAATGTTTGGCGTTCCGATCTAGCATTGACGTACAGCTCTCCGAGGCCAGTGAGGGAACTGAAAGAGGCAGGGATGGCTCCCGAGAGCTGGTTTCTTTTGAGGTCTCTGGCAGTAGGGCAAATCATTTGAACGGGCATTGGGAAGAATAGCCAAAGGTGACAAAAACATAGATGTAGCTGTGGCTCAGCTGCTGGGTGGGCTGTCATACAGGGTGGTTGGAATTAGGGTTGAGCAAAAAAAAAACACCAGTTCGGTTCGCCTCGAACGAACAGGTTTTTTTTTTGCTTAAATTGTTCGCCTTGTACGTGTTCGAGGTTCGCCCTAACACGTTCGTGTTCGGACCGCAGCTGTAAAATGCCCCGCGTCGAACACGAACTTGTTCGAGGTTTGCCCGACACGCCTTCACAGGCGAACGCTGAAAATCTGTTTTTGCTAGAAGTGTTCGCCGAACCGAACAGTGTTCGTGCAGGGGCGAACACGAACACGTTCCTGTTCGCCCCTTGCTCATCCCTAGTTGGAATGGTGAGATGAAAGCAAAAAATCGGGGTAACAAAGTAATGAGAAAGGTTCGAGCAACAAGAGATGACTTACAGAGACGCCAAATTTGTGAGTGAGCCAATGCCAGCAGGAATGGAGCCAGTGAGCTTATTGTTGGCTAACTTTCTGAAGGAGAAAAATGGCAAAGTCAATGGCAAAGATTGAGATGAGAGTATAAACGATACGATGCAGCGGGCGGGGAGGAGCGGCAGAGAAAGTGGCGGTCTGATAGAGGCAGGAGAAGGGCAGTCATGCTCCACTCTGCAAAATGTCAATCCCTAGTGGTGAGGACCAAGTTAGAGATGGGAGGGCTGGCTGTTCACAAGCCGATTCCAAATCTATCCAGGTGCATGTGTGTGGTGTGGTGTACGTATCCCACCCACTCACATGTAAGCCACCTGGCTGAGAGTACTGAGTGCAGCAGGGATGGTGCCTGAAAGCAGGTTGTCTGTAATTAGCCTGCATTTGATCATGTGCAGAGAGAAGACGAAATACGGCATGATGGCACATATTGATTTCTAATTCGGTTCGACTCGAACCAAATTCGGTTCTAATCAATTTGGTTTGGCCGGATCGATGGATTCGGTCAGAGCCTCGCTCAAACGTGCCTTGGGCCGTGGTGGATTAGATATACATATATATGTGTGTCCCTGTCACGTGTGCCTGTATATTGTAGAAAACAAAAAGAGGTACAAAAAAAAAAAACAGAAACTAAACAAACAAAACACACACACACACACACACGCACACACACACACACGCACACACACACACACACACACACACACACACACACACACCTGTTGTGATGATGTTTTTCCTGTGAAGCGACCACTTTCCACCTTCTTCTAGGCCAAGGTCGAGATTTTGTCCAATCATCACCTTTTAACTAGCACTGGGGCTTACGAAAGTATGGAACCCGAACCAAACTCCAACGATAGCTCTCACTTAAGGGGCAACCTGATGATGGTGTTTGGCCGTTCTGATACAATTTTGAGCTGGCCGAATCTCCAGCCGGTTTAACCTGAACCGGTTCATGTTTGGTTCGACCACGACCACCCCGCCTATTCGAGAAATGGGTTGGAGAAGCCCGTTTGGGTTTCACCCATGCTTTCTGGTTCACACACCAAGAATGAGTGCTGATGGTTCGAGAGTGTTTATAGTCCCACAACCAAGGCTCATCTGTAAGGGTGTGTGATTGCAAGCAGCTCACAGGATAAAAAGCTGTTTAAGTGCTCCCAAGGTTGAAGGGATGCTGCCCGGAATCAGGTTGTTTGAAAGATCACTGGGAGAAAAGCGTGCAGGGCAGAGAAAGGATGGGTGGATGGCTGACAGGAAGGAAGCAAGGCAATGCGAGCTCCGTCAAATAACTGGTACGCATGAACAAGGAAGGCAAGCGTGGGCATGGATGGATTTTGAAATGGAAGAAAAGGGACGCAACAAGGTGTGGTGGGCGGGAATGACTGACATTGAGGTGAGGGCAGTCATGAAACCAATCTCCTTGGTGATGGAACTAGACAGTTGATTGTATCTCAGGTCGCTGGTGGAACAGAAGGGACAGTGGATTGGATGAGATGGCGGACAGCAGTGAACAAAGATGCTGCATTGGATTTTAAAAGGGTCGTATGATGGTACATGAAGCTGTTCAGATTAATGCAAACATCAGGCTGGCTGGCTGCTGAGGGTGGAGTAGAAGCAGTGGTAGAGAGGCAGAGCAGCAGTGACAGAATGGCGGTGACAGTGCGGCACCCACAGTGAATCCAAACTACTCAGCAAGGAAAAGGAGGGAGGGATGGAGCCCGAGAGTTTGTTGACAACAAGGCCTCTGCAGCAGCATGGGAAGGCGGCAAACAAGGCCAAGGGGAATAGTGTTGGTAAATGGGATGGGAGGGAATGAGCGTTAAAACGACAGTATACATTTGGCAAGCCGAGGTTCAGAAGGTTCTCTTTTTGACTAAGCATGCCAGCGCAGAATATTTGGCTCATGAAAAGTCAGCATTCCCCCCCAACACTTGACTTCCGCTGTAACCATTCGCGAGGGTCCGATTTTTCCGTGCGTCAAATGTAGAACGTCACTTTAAATGGTCCCCAAAAGGAATTTCTGATCCATGGGCATTAGGAAAAGTCAAAATGCGGCGTACAGATATGTAAGGCCAGTGAGGCTGCCGATGGAAGAAGGGATGGTTCCAGAGAGCTGGTTGTAAGCAAGGGACCTGGAGTGTTAGGGAATTTATCCGATCGGGCATTGGAAAGCACAGGTGTTGAAGAGTATGATGTGAAAGGATTGTGAGAATAGGGTTCGGTTTGTTGTTTTCGAGGCTAACTTCACGTACTGTGGTGGACCAATTCATGCTTCAACCCCACTGCCAAGGGTGCAGCAGCGTTCGGTTTGGCAACAGTACTTTGTGCGGATCCGAGCGTGCAATACAGGTATTCCCTTCCCTCCTGCCAAATGCCCTAATTTTCCAGGTTTACACGTCAAAACCCCCTTGGTGCGAATCGAACTTACGAAGGCGTCAAACCACATCGGTTCGACAGGTCTCCCATTAAAATGTTGAACCGACTCGAACAGTTTGATTTGAAACAAAATTTGGTCGGTTCCGTCCGAACCGAACCATGTCTAACCAAACCCCACTCTCCCTCACAACAAATCAACATTTCCTGACGGTGGGTTAGAGGACAGTTCGGGAAGAATTGTTTTGAGATCATCCCATGCTCATGCTAAGCTTCAATCAAATAGGGTTCCTCGTCTTTCAAAGCAGAGCAGAGCAGTTGCACTTGGTGTGCCTGACTTGAGCCTTGATATGGTGCAGTGCAGGGTCCCACGATCAAGGCTCATCTGAGAAGGGTGTTGTATGAATCTCACAGATAATTCAACTGGGTGAGTTTTCCCAAAGTTGAAGGGATGGTGTCGGGAATTTGGTTGGCTGAAAGATCGCTGGAAGAAATGCGTGCAGGGCAGAGGAAGAATGGTTGGATAAAAGGCGAGCATGAGCAAGCAAGGGACGTGGGATGCATGCACGGAGATTACCAGATGCGCATGAACACGAAAGGGCAAGGTTGGCAAGGGTCAGCGTGGACGGTCTTGGAAGGATGGAAGCAACAAGGTGGCGGAGTGGAGGGGGGTGACTGACAGTTTGGTGAGGCCGACCATGGAACCAAGCTCCTTGGGAATGGGAGTATTCAGTTGGTTAAAAGTTAAGTCGCTGGGGCAACAGCAGGGACAGTGGAGTGGAGGGTAGACAGGATGAGTGAGGGGGGTGTGATGACTTGTGGAAAGCATCAGAAATTGGATATGGCCCATGAAAAGAAACAGAGCATTAGGCCTGTCTGTGGTGGGCGGGGTAGCAGCAGCAGTGGGAGGCTCAGAGGCACAGCAATAGCAGACGCAGACTGGCAGTGCAGCACCCACAGAGCATAGAGATTGGTGAGCAAGGTAATGGAGGGTGGGATGGCTGTGAAATTGTTGACACGAAGGTCCCTGCATGCAGCAGCAAGGGAGTGCGGCGGCAACACAACGCCAAAGGAGCAGCCAGACGGGAGGTAGTGGCAGACAAGTGTTAGAGCAGCCTAATCTCCAATTGAGATTGGTACCGGCCATATTTCGCTATTTTTTGTCACGAATACAATTATTTCTATCTGAGGTTCGGTTTGGTTTCTTTTCCATCCTTCACCCCAACCTACTCTATAACGTTGTAACCCAGCTTCTCCCCTCTCTAAAACAGTGATCTGAAACCCTAGGCATCTTCACTAAGAGGGAGGCAGCCAGCCAGTGCTGTTGAGTGATCGAAGAATGGGCGTTAAAATACAATGACAGAAAGAGCAGGCAAAAAACGTGTGGCATACAAATCTGTAAGGCCAGTGAGGAGGCCAATGGAAGAAGGGATGGGTCCAGTAAACTGGTTGTATGAGGCGTATCTAGTGGATAGATGGGTGGGGGATTCATCCGAACGGGCATTGGAAAAAACAGCCAGTGTGTAAACTGATGGTGATGAGAAGGGATATTTGAGGGAAAATGCGAGAGGAGAAATACAGCTGATTGAGGCTGAGGGAGAAACCAAAAACAATGTATTGCTGCAGCCTGCGGCTCAACTGCTGAAGTGTAGTACGGTAATACAGAACGTGATTTATAATAGGAGAGGAGTAAAGAAGCTAGAAATGGTTGAGGGAAGAATAAAGATTTCTTACAGAGTTGCCAAAGACGTGAGCGAGCCAATGGCAGCAGGCATGGGGCCGGTGAATTGGTTGCTGGTTAATTTCCTGAGAACGAATGGCAAAGTCAAAGGCTTGAGGTTGGTGATGCAGACAGGAGCAGCAGAAGAATATGTTACTTGAGAGGCAGAAGCTGATGTAGGCACCAGCGAGCCGCATGAGGAAGAGCCTTCCTCATGCGTGATTGGTTTCTCGAATCTTTCTTTTCTGCTTGTCAAGCGCAAGAAAGGAGCCGTAAACCCTGGCCGGATTCATTGACCAGCTCACTCTGTTTGTCAAGAGAAACACAGTATGCCCCACTCTGTTGCAGACACAAAGACACAAGCTGAGAGGACAAATGAGGCAAGCTGTGGAGTGGAAAAATGAGGGACATTGGCCCGCTAGCGGCCACGAGGGAATCACTCCTCTCTTCAGGGCAGTACAGAAGTTTCAGATACTTACCTCGTGATGTTATTCGATGCACGCCAGTTAAATCAAGGCAGGAGATACTCAACTCCTTGTTTCCTCAAATCTACTCTAGAGTATGCTGAACAAACGCTGGTGTGAGCCGAGCTGGAACCAGCATTTCACAGGCCCATTTCAAGGCATGGCTGCCATCCCATGTGCATATGTGTGTCTTACTCACATGCAAGGCACTTATCCAGACCAGATCACTGTAATAATACTTACAGTTTATCACCAGTGCGCGAGAAACTCATGCCACTACAATACCAACCTGCTGCGTGTATGCATCTCACATGAGATTCAGTTGGCTGAGCCCGCTTAAAACGGTGGGGAGGCTTTCAAGCAGGTTGGATGAAAGGTCCCTGCAAGGGATGATGCATGCAAGGGATTGGCTTGAAGTTATAAAAGCAGGTAGTATACAGCAGGTGGGCAGGAGAGAATATGTCTGCAAGCATCATGGAAGGCAGCGAATGGACAAACACATTGGGCTGAAATAATTAGCTGTGAAACTTAACTTTCTGCAGATGGCACTGGCAGTGAGCTGTGCCACATACTATCCACAATCCTGTTTTCTAAATCGCATGGCTAGGAATTTACGGTCAAAACTGACTCTGGGTGTTAGGTTTACGTAGAGAGCTGTTAGGGCACATAATTGCTTATATACAATTAAACTCAATAGTTTAACCAGCTTCGGGTTCAAATTCAGTTTGACTACTCACGCAGGTTCCGATTAAATCCAACCCATGTGCATGCCGTCAAGTAGAACAACAAGTGAGCGCAATATGAACATGTTCCGATTCAATCCAACCCATGCTCATGCCGAGCCTCTGTCACTTTTGAAGCTAACCTATTGCTGGGCAAAAGATACGGCCAACGTCCCTAACATCCAGCCAGACGCTCTTCTTAAGAACAATGTAGTGTAAGCCCTCATTTCCAAGTAAAACCAATTATTCCACTTTGGAGATTCCATCCATCACACCAATTCCCACACTGCTGACATGAACAATTCATACGTTCACACACACTGCACGGGAGGAAGGCATGACGGAACAGCCCCACATAAGTTTCTTGTCACATAAGGGGAAAGGCAATAGAATCGGTGCCCTAGCTAGGACTGGCTTTTTTACAATTCTCTAACAAGCATGCCGTGCAAGCAGCAGCAGCGGTTGAGCTAGGCTTGAGCAAGGTGGCGAACACCTGTTCGGTTCGCCTCGAACGTGTTCGATGTTCGCCCGAACACGTTCGTGTTCGTGGCGCTGCTGCAAAACGCCCTGTGTCGAACACGAACGTGTTCGAGGTTCGCCCGAACATGCCTCCACAGTAGGGATGAGCAAAGGGCGAACACGAACATGTTCGTCTTCGCCCCTTGTCGAACACCCTCTTTTGCCGAACCGAACACTGTTCGGTTCGGCGAACAGTTTAGGAAAAAACAGGTGTTCGCTGTTCGCCTGTGGAGGCGTGTTCGGGCGAACCTCGAACACTGTTCGTGTTCGTCGCGGGCAAATTTCAGCAGCGGCCCGAACACGAACGTGTTCGGGCGAACATCGAACACTGTTCGGCGAACGATTTGAGCTAAAAAACAAAACCTGTTCGGTTCGCCTCGAACGTGTTCGAGGCGAACCGAACAGGTGTTCGCCACCTTGCTCATCCCTACTCCACAGGCGAACAGTGAACACCTGTTTTTGGCTAAACTGTTTGCCGAACCGAACACTGTTCGGTTCGGCAAAAGGACGTGTTCGAGAAGGGGCGAACACGAACATGTCCGTGTTCGCCCTTTGCTCATCCCTAGGTTGAGCTTAGTGGTGTGGTTAATGTGTGCAGCGCAGGGTGCCATATTCAAGGCTCTTTTATGAAAGGGTGCTTTCTGCTGCTTACAGGTATTGCAACTGGATGAGTCCTCCCAAGGACGAGGGGACGCTGCCCGGAAGCTGGTTGTTGCGAAGCACACTGGAAGAAAGCCATGGAGGGGAGAGAAGGCATGGGTGGCTGAAAGCAAGTACCAGCGAAACACACAGGATGGAAATTGTGTGTGCATATGCAAGAAACTTCAGGAAAGGAAGGGTGGTTTGGGGGCCGTTGAAAAAAAAAAAAAAAAAACACGTTGCAAGGAATTGGGTGGACTTGTGGTGGAGGAAAGTGACTGACAGTTTGGTGAGGGAAGTCATGGATCCAATCTCCACGGGGATGGAAATATTCAGTAGATTAAAGCCCAAGTCACTGGGGGAACAGAAGAGACAATGGAGAGGAGGGTGGAAAGTGAAGAGTGAGGAGTAATAGTGGTGTGGATCAAAAAAAATTACAATTGGCAGATAAAGCTTTTCAAAAGAAACAGAGCATTAAGCAGGCTTGAGCATACTGGCCCGCCGCGTCAGGTCAGCTTCTCGGGGAGCTTGGCCCGGCCGGGTCGAGCCGAATATACCCGGCCGGGTCGGGTCGACCTAACCTGGGGTCGGGTCAGACATTACCCGGTCCCTCAACGGGTCGGGTCAGGGTTTCTGGAATCTTCGACCCGGTCTGACCCAACCCGACAAGACCCGGCCCGGTACCCGCCTGGCTCGGTCAATTCGGGTAGGTTCGGGTCGGGTCGGGTCGCCCGCTCATGCATAGGTACAATACAAGCAGCAGGGGAGAGGCACGGATCCAGCATCGGCAGACTGGCAATAGCACTCACAGGGTGTTGAGATTTTTTAGCGAGGAGATGGAGGGAGGGATCTGGCCCGAAAAGCTGTTAGCATAAAAGCCCCTGCAGCAGCATGGGATGGGAGGGTGGCAAACACAACTAAGTTGGAATATATGCACAAGTGTTATTGCGTTTTAATAAAATAGGTTACAAAAATACGACCGCTGCGTTTTCGGTGTAGATACGACAAAAAACGCTTGGGCAGGCCGGAAAAACAAAATCAACATATTAGTTTCAGTTCATGACGTGGTGAACTGAGGTTTAAGATTCACACATTGCGAGCTCAACAGGAAATATGAAATTTCTAGCCTCATAGCACCCACCCCACCTATTAACCTCTCCACACCGCACCATACCCCGTCCTTTCCCAATTGAGGATGAGATTTGTTGATCCTTTGCATGCACCTCCCCCATCCCCACCTCTTAACCCATTTTTTCCCCTGCCCAGAGAAGTTTCTTACCCTGCCCAGCTCTGCAATTGCAGTGCGTAATGGACCCCTCCCCCAAAGCATTCGGTCTTTATACGCTAGCGGATACATGCTAGCGTATCAAACGCCGAATGTGTTCATTCCAACTTGGCAACCTAGAGGTGACAGTGGCAGACAAACACCTGGTAGGCTTGAGCACAAGGGCAACACCTGTTCGGTTCGCCTCGAACATGTTCGTGGCAAACCGAACACTTCTATTTTATGGCCTAAAGTGTTCGGGGTGAACGTGTTTGTGTTCACCCGAACATGTTCGTGTTCGGTTCGCCGCGGCTAGCCGAGTCGCGCCGAACACAAACACGTTCTTGTTCGCGACAAACACAAATGTGTTCGTCGGTAAATTCCCTTGATCCTGTGTTTAGGTGAACGGGACACAGTAGTCGAGCTCATTTCTAAGCTCGACTTTTGCCTAACCACCCTTTCACAGCCTAGAATACAAGCTCCAGACTTCACTGGAATAGTTAGGCTGAAACAAAAATCTACTCATTGTGTTTCATTTCCTCCACTCCCAAACGTCCACCAGGTGAAGCCACACCAGCCTGAATGCCAAAATCCACCATCCCTACACCCTATGACTATAATGAAGGCTGCTTACAGGCGAACACGAACATGTTCTCCCCAAACATGTTCGTGCTCGGGCCAAACACCTTGGTGTTCGCCTGTGAAGGCGAACATCGAACACCTTTTTCCGTTGAAGGTGTTCGGCGAACACAAACATGTTCGGTTTGCCGAACAAGAGTGTTCGAGGAAAGGCGAACACAAAAGTGTTCGGTGTGCCTAACAAGAGTGTTCGAGGAAAGGCTTACACAAACATGTTCGTGTTCGCCCATTGCTCATCCCTAGGTATTAGTGCTAAGTGATCGGGCAAAGCGCAACATACAGAAATGTAAGTTTGGTGAGGGAGCCGATGGAGGCAGGGATGGGTCCAGAGACCTGGTTGTAATAAAGAGATCTGATGGGCGAGAGATTCAACCAGAGAGGCATTTAGTAGAGCAGACAACTGCGGTTCTGGATGAAGTTGGGTGGTGGGATAGGTGAGTAGAGAATCAAGAGGAGAGTGGTGAGGACTAGCGAAGGCAGCTAGATGCAGCTAGCTGATTTTCTGTTTATAGGAAATGAAATGGTTGAAACAAATACGAAAAAGGGAGGAAATAAGAGAGCATTGAGCAAGGAAATATTTACAGAAATGACAATCCTGTGAGCGAGCCAATGCTTGAAGGTAGGGGGTCCGTGAGGGTGTTGGTGTTTAACATCCTGGCAGAGAAAGGCAAAAAGAGACGTGGACGGGAGAAAAGCGGTGTAGAAGGGAGATGAAGACGAGAAGAACCCAGTTGGAGGCAGCAGTTAAAGCTATCCAAGCAGAGGATGGAGGTTCAGATTGTGCTACAGGACTAGATTGCGATGAGCATATAGGCATGGACACTCTTATAGAATTCAACTGTGTGCAACTTACAGGGTACTGAGCCTAGAAAGAGTGCTAATACTGGCAGGGATGCCGTCTGAAAGCATGTTGCATTGAAGATCCCTGAAAGATGATAACACAAGCAACAGAGGAATGTCAAAAATTGAGCACGATAGGAAAAATGCATGATAGGATAATTACATGATAGGATAAATGCATGATAGGATCAATGCTTCATCCGATTAATGCATGATAGGATCTGAAAGGAAACTGATCAATGCATATCAGAATCTAAGGATCAACGAGAAGCAAAGGTATACCAGAACAATCTCTATTTGCAATACCAAAACAAAATATAGCTTTGAGTGATGAGCTGGCACACAAGCCACGAGAATATGGAGTAGAATTCCACAGGAGTGGCTAGGGATGAGCAAGGTGGCGAACACCTGTTCGGTTCGCCTCGAACACGTTCGAGGCGAACCGGACAGGTTTTGTTTTTTAGCTCAAATCGTTCGCCGAACAGTGTTCGATGTTCGCCCGAACACGTTCGTGTTCGGGCCGCTGCTGAAATTTGCCCGCGACGAACACGAACAGTGTTCGAGGTTTGCCCGAACACGCCTCCACAGGCGAACAGCGAACACCTGTTTTTTCCTAAACTGTTCGCCGAACCGAACAGTGTTCGGTTCGGCAAAAGAGGGTGTTCGACAAGGGGCGAAGACGAACATGTTCGTGTTCGCCCTTTGCTCATCCCTAGGAGTGGCAATTGAGTGACAAGAAAAAAAAAAAAACAAATGGGTGAGAACAGGAAATGGGGAGAGCATAAACGACCCACAAGCGTGTAGAGGATTGGCAGTGTGACACGTAGGTCAGGATAATACGGGATAAGAACAAGAACAATGTGCGTGGACCATGCGGACTACAGATGCATACAGAAGAATGCTTACAGGTATACCAGCTTCGTGAGCAAGCCAATGGTGGAAGGGATTGAGCTGTTGAGCTGGTTATAAGCGAGGGAGCTGTTGAACATGGGAAGATAGGTGGGTTGCAGGGGACGTGCGATGCAAATGAGATGGCAAGGAGAGGAGAATGGTGAAAGGATAAGAGGGTGGGGTGGGGTGGGGTGGGGTGGTGTGGGATGGGATGGGATGTAAGGTGTTGGCACTCACTAGTAACTAACTAACCAACAGAAGGCCTTTGACACAAATAATTATGCGTGTTAGAAGATACAATCAATTCCAAGGCTGCCAGCAGGGCATTGAAGAACGAGTAAACGTCCGCAATCGTGAGTTGCAGGAGGGGGAAACGAAGGGACTGGGAAAATCGGCAGGAAAGAAACATTGAGGGTAGGGGAGGAATGAGGTGAATGTGCGGAGGCAAGAGGGAGGGAGTAGATAGAGAAGGAAGGAGAGGAAAGAGCATTACAGGAATGATACAGATGAAAGTGAGCCGATTGAAGCAGGGATAGCGTCCGTGAGCTGGTTTCTCTGAAGAGACCTGCCGTCTCGTACAGGCATGACGAGGATAGCAAGATAAACGGGCAAGAACAAGAAGATGGGTGTGCTAAGGTGGGCAAGCCTCAGAGCATTGACTTGTTTTGTGTCAACAGAGCGGTGAAGAGGTGGATGGAGAAATTTCAGCACATTCACCCCATACGAATATGTGTAATGCATGTAATGGAAATATGAACTTGAGAAACGCGTGTAATGCATCTGCCGTCCACCACATATGGTAATGTGATTACAAATGCCTACCCTGTAAAGCCTACTGGCAGCACCAGAGTGTTGCTTACACGAGGGAAACTGAGGTGAGTACACCGATGGTAGAGGGAATACTGCCAGACAGCTGGTTGTTTGACATATCCCTGAGAAAGAAAACAAATAAACATGAAACAGAAAGGTCACCTCGAATAAGACAGGTGCATAGTGGAGGAGGAAGGCTGTCGGGGGTGGAGATAAAACAAGCGCACACAGGTAGATAAAGGAAGAGAAGTAGATTTTGTAGGACAAAGGTAGAGGAAGACCATCACATGGGAGCTTACAGCCACAGAAGTTTGGTCATGGCACCAATCTCAGCAGGGATGGAGCCAGTGAGTCCATTGTATTGGAGATACCTGAGTGAAGCAACAGGGAGATACATACACTGAATGCATGCAAAGAGAGGCACAAGCAGCTCACTGAGGTGAGCACCAATGGCGAGAAAAGGGTCAGTTGCAAAGAAAAATCACTCGTGAGGCGATGCTCATACGGTGAGTGAGGCAAATTGGATTCTTTTTGTGCTGATGGAAGGATGTGTGGACTTGCCTCTTGCTGAAGGGAAGGTAACTGAAAAGCATGGTAGGTACTTACTAAAATTTTTACCGTCTTGTGGTACGTGCAACTCACAGGTTATTGAGTAGAGTGAAACCACTAATACTGGCAGGGATGCTCCCCGAAAGGTCGTTCTTTGAGATATTCCTGGATTTTCACAGGTAAGCAGCAGGGTGTATTATTGGATGTAGATCCACACGGGGCTATGCGAATACAGTACATGATACAATACAATCACACAATGTGAAACAAAATGTTGGTTAACACAGCCGAAGAGAGTATAGGCGATGAAGCGGCTGAATTGACGCAATACCCGAATTTTCAAGTTCGGTATAATGATAGCATAAAAGCTGCCGAGAGCTGGTTCCTTAGATCGTCCTAGAATGGAACAAGCAAGGAGAAGAGAAAGGAAGAGAAGAAGCTGAAAAAGGGAGATAGAATGCATAAGGACTTACAGGGTCACCAGTTTTGACAAAGCACCAATTTCAACAGGTATAGAGCCATTGATTCCATTGTACTGTAGCATCCTGCGACAGCCCACGTAGAGGAAGGAAGGAAAAACAACGGGTAATCACTGAGGTGAGATGAAGGGAGGTTGAGTGCCGAGGGATTAGCTGGAATGAAGGCCTGAAGCCGATGAACTAGTGATTGGGGGGTGAGCTAGGGAAAAAGAATGTGATTAGTGATGGATATAAAAATGCAAGAGAACCAACCAAAACGTTGCACGTTAGGATGAACAACTAGCACTGTGAGTCATAGTTAAGTGGAGTTAATTGTTCATGGCTTCAGACAAGGGCTTGGGAGTAAGAAGAAGGATAAAGGAGGCATGAGCATAGTAAATGCATAGTGGAACAAAGACAGACAAGGCAAGAGAAAGGCACAAGAATTATCCAGAGAGGAAATAGGTGATTGGCCAGGGGAGACGGCAAAGGAAGAGAGGAAATAGCGGATCAGTCGAAGACAGGAAACACAAACAAACACAGCTAGCAAGGACAGAGCAACGGAAACGGAATACGGGGGTGGGGTGGGGTGGGGCGGGGAGGGGTTGGGCGGGGGTGGGGGGGGAGGGAGAAGAGAAAAGCACCAGAGGGGTTTCCAGCTTACAGGTACGAAAGCCTTGTTGCGGAACCAATCTGAGCAGGGATAGAGTTTGTGAGTGAATTGGATTGGAGGGACCTGAATGGATCAACAAGGAAAGGGGATGTCAAGAGAAGCACTTGCAGCAGTGAGCTGGAAGCAGGAGAAGAAACGCGGGCATCATCTTTCAGGCGACAGATAAATAACTGGCAAGGCTGATAGGGTGAGCGAGGATGTGCATGCAGATGTGGACTGGTACATGCATCATGCATGCATGGTACGTCACTAGCAGTAGCAGATGGTAGCTAGAAAGTGTGGTACTTCACTTTAATTGCTTCTTTCTTACCGACTTCGTCTGTGGGAAACTCACAGATACGTGAGCGCTGTGAGAGCACTAACAGTGGAAGGAATTCTCCCTGTAAACTGGTTGATCGAAAGGTCTCTGCAAGTCAAAAGGCAAGCAGCAGTGGCCAATTCTAGAAACTGGTAAGCCAAAAATAGTCGATTGGACATCAAGTGCGTGTGGGTGGACTATAAGTGAATGATGTGAAACAATACAGGAGAACCATAGGGAACAGGATTGCAACAGGATCCACACAAAAAAAAAAACAAAAAAACAAAAAAACAAAAACAAAAAAAAAACAGAGAGAACATCATCTCGAGTCATGCCTCAAAAGCCATGCTTCAAGAGCCATCTTGACTTGACCATTGCGTCGAGTCCAATCGAATCAGGTCTTGACAAGGCTTGATCAATGACTCGACCTGAGCCCTATGTTGTACCTACAATCGACACTGTAGAATGAGGATCGGTGAACTTGAGGCACAATGAGAGAAGAACAATATATCCTTAGTAGGAAGATGGTACAAGCCTGAAAGGCTAGAGCAATGTCCTTTCCAAGGATGAGTTCTAGAGAAGTGGGAAGCCACATTTATGTGGCTGAACTCTTGAGGCTAGCTGCAGCACCTCAAAGCTGAGGGCAGGGCTAGCCAACCTTGCCAAGCTAGCAATTGAGGCCACATGTTGCACATGTGGGCCAGGCTGGAACAACAGCCTACATGGCAGCATGTGGCACACCATAGGAGCCAACAAGGTGAGTATGGGATGGGTGGACAGATGGCAATGCCAACTGTGACCACACTTCACTGTGGGTGAGTGTGGTGGAGTGTGGGAGTGTCATGTTCGGCATAATGAGAAGAGAAGGTGCTGCCGATGAGAGTTGAACCCGCGACCACTAAGACCAAAGGTACCCACTGGGACATTCTTGCTTCCACAACACCCCCCCTCAAGGATGTCCCCGGGGTAGGGTGCCTCAAGAGGAAACATGGGTGAGACCGAGAAGACCACGGATGCGAAGAAAAGGGTCACGGGGCAAAGGCTTGGTCCCAATGTCAGCGAGGTTGTCTTGAGTAGGAACATAGTGAAGGGTGATGGAGTGGTCGGCAACATGATCGCGAATGAAATGGTGCTTGATGTCGATGTGCTTGGCCTTGGGATGAAAGACGCCATCGTCCTTGGCGAGAATGATGGCACTGTTGTTGTCACACGAGATACGGGTGGGGCCGGTAGGGGGAAGTCCAACTGCAGTAAGGAGCGAACGAAGCCATAATGCCTCGTGCACCGCGGCGCCCAGAGAGTAATATTCAGCTTCACATGAAGAGGTAGCAACGACGGCTTGGCGTTTGGACTGCCAAGAGATGAGTGACGGACCGAGGAAGAACAAGTAGCACGTAACGGAGCGACGCAGCTCCCCCTCCGGTCCCCAAGAGGCGTCACACCAGCCATGAAGTTCGAGGGTGTCGGGAATGCCACCAAGGAGAAGCCCAAGGGAGGTAGTCCCTTTCAAGTAGCGAGCAATGCGTTTGGCAGCCGAGACGTGAGGAGTAGACCAATCGTGAAGGTGACGAGCAAGAACTCCAGCGCTATATGCGAGGTCGGGACGGGTCCCCACCATGGCATACATGATGGAGCCGACAAACGAGGTGTAAGGGAAGGAGGAGGAGTGCGGGGAGGAAGTCACGGGTGGCTGAAACTTTGTGTCCATGGGAGTGGCAGCGGGGTTCAGTGGAGAGAAGGAGTAGGTGTCTAGAATGGAGGTGATGAATTTGGATTGATGAAGGTGGAGAGTGCGGGAAGTTCGATCACGAGTGATGTGAAAGCCAAGGTAGTAGGAGAGAGGTCCGAGGTCACGAAGTTTGAAGCGAGATGAAAGGGCATGCTTGAATGAGGCAAGAAGAGAGGAGGAGGAGGAGAGAATGATGAGGTCGTCAACATAGACGAGAAGCATGAAGAAGGATGCAGCTGTAGGCCGATAAGGTGAGTGAGGAGGAGCAATGAAGAGGCCGGGGTCCGCACGAGCAGCAAAGAGGTGAAAGGCAGCAAGCTCCTCACGAAGCTTGCGGTACCAGCATCGCGGAGCTTGCTTCAACCCGTACAGCGGTTTGTGCAAGAGACAAACTTGCTCAACACCATGGACCGCCGGAAGGTCATAACCGGGAGGCTGCATCATGTAGAGAATCTCATCAAGGGTGCCGTTGAGGAAGGCGTTGGAGATGTCCAGCTGATGGACGTCCAGGTTGAAAGCGGCAGCTATGGTGAGAAACAAGCGGAGGGTGGCGAAGCGGACGGTAGGAGCAAAGGTGTCATGAAAATCAACACCATCACGTTGCTTGAAGCCTTTGACAACAAGGCGGGCTTTGCGGCGTTCAATAGAACCATCAGCGTTCTCCTTGACCTTGAAAATCCATTTGCATGGAATCGGCTTGCACTTGGGTGGTCGAGGAACAATGCTGTAGGTGTCATTAGCGTGCAGAGCAGCGAGTTCCGCATCAGCAGCCTTGATCCATTCGGCAGCATCAGGGCCGGTACGAGCCTCATGAATGGTTTGAGGTTCGTAATGATGGTGAAGGGCAGCATTGGCAGAGGTGTTGGAAAGAGGAGGAAGAGTGAAGTCAATGGGTTCGGAAGGGGATGGTAAGACCTTGAGGAAGGAGAAAAGGGAAGGATCGGGAAGAGCTGAAGGGGATGGCGGGGAGGAGCGAGTCGTGCAATGGGGAGGGGGAGGCGAAGAGGGAGGAGAGAAGGATGGAAGGTGAAAGTCTTGCGGCGTCGAGGGCAGAGGAAGGTTGGAAAACAATGGAGGAGGAGAAGATGTGGCTGGTGCGGGCAGGTTTGGGGATTGTGGGTGGGGGTTGGTGGAGGAAGGTATGGTGGGGGAAGGAGAGGGAGGGGAGATTGGTTCCAAGGAAGAAGGGTGTGTTGGAGGAGGTAGTGAGGAGGATGTGGGTGGAGATGACGATGGAGGGTCGCGAGAGTCGTCGGAAGGCGGTGCAGAGGGCTCCATGAAGATGACATCACGAGAAAGGATGACACGGTGCTGAGATGGGATATAGATGCGGTAAGCTTTGGTGCCGTCGAGATGACCATATCCAACCATGATGCCGGCCGTGCTTCGGTCGTCGAGCTTAGAACGCCGTTGGGAAGGAATGAGGACCGAGACGGGTGAACCGAAGATGCGGAGGTGTGATACATCCGGACGTGCACCGGTCCATAGTTCCATGGGAGTCTTAGAAGTTGAACCACCCCGACTAATGGCATGATTACGAAGATAGGCAGCAGTAAGAGCGGCTTCACCCCACCAGCCTTTGTCCATGTGTGCATCATGGAGCATGGAACGGACCATCTCAAGTAAAGTCCGGTTGGCCCGCTCAGCTACTCCATTTTGCTCAGGTGTGTATGGCGTGGAGAGGTGGCGGGCGATGCCATGAGCTGTGAGGAATGAAGTGAAGGCTTTGGAAGTGAACTCCAAGGCACCGTCAGAGCGAAAGGTTTTGATGGTGTGTGGGGAATGCATGTTGTGCACCCGAGTGACGTAAGCCTTGAAGCATGAAAGTGCCTCCGACCGGTGGCGTAGGAGATACACTGTAATGTGGCGGGAGTAGTCGTCGATGAAGGTGAGAAGGTAGCGAGCGCCGCCAATGGTAGTTCCATATGAAAGCGGTCCAGCAATATCTGAGTGAATGAGTTGGAGTGGGGCTGTGGTGCGAGAATGGGACACGCCAAATGGCTGACGTGTTTGTTTCCCACGATAGCACGAGATGCAGGGGGGAATCGAGGTGGAGGAGAGGTGAAGACCGGTGACCAGCTGCTGCCGATGAAGTGTTGACAAGGCCTGCATGTTGAGATGCCCGAAACGACGATGCCAGAGGTACGAGGAGGTGGTGGTGGAGGCTGGACATGCAGTTGGCTTGATAGAAGGAGCAGCACTGCTCCCATGATGCAGTTGAAGATAAAACAGATTGTTGCGGGTGTAGCCCTCGCCAATAGGAACGTCATCAGATGTGAGAACAACGCGCCCAGCAGCGGGGAACGAGACGGCAACGCCGGCAGCACCAAGCGCACGAACAGAGAGCAGGTTGTGAACTGATGAAGGGAGAAATAGAACGTTGTCAAGCTGAATGGTGGTTTCCGATGTTGGTGACCGAAGAGTAGCCACCACCGTGCCGACTCCCAAGACCTTGTAAGTCTCTCCTCCACCAAAACGAACAAGGATCTCTTCGTTGGGCTTCTTGAGAGACGAAAACAGCGAACGATCCGAGCAGATATGGGAGGATGCGCCGCTGTCCACCAGCCACGACGAAGTCCGCTCCATATTGAATGAGGAGGCCGTGAATGCCGATGCGTAGGGAGCCCCATAAGGGAAGAGGAGGAGGAGAAGGAGGATGGTGAGAATGAAGACAGCAGCGACGAGAGGAGTCCATGTGGAGAAGATGGGGTGGTGGCTGGTGCTGACAGCAATGTCCACGTACCGGGAATCAGGTACGGACTGAGGGGTTGATGGGGCAGGAGGGGGTGTGGGGGGTCGGAGTAGCTTCAGCAGAGGAGCTGGTGGAGACATGCACCGAGGGTTGGAAGACGGATTTCTCCCGTTTAGAGCTTTCTTCAAGCTCTTTCTTCTTCTTCAATTTGAAGCATTCATCGATGGTGTGACCCGTTTTCTTGCAGTAACGGCAGGTGGGCGACTGGCGTGAACCGGAGCGAAGAGGGTGGGAGGGCTGGGAATTGAGGTTGTATGCACCCTCCATGTTACGGCTTGTACCAGATTGTGACCGCTCCCAATCGGCATCGAGTAGGCGTGACTGTAGGTATTCAACTGTCATAGACTTTATGTCTTTCACGGTGCAAATGGTTTCAGTAAGGGTCTTGAACGAGTCCGGAAGGTTGAGGATGATGGAGATTACCACCACCCATGATGGTAGCTCAAAGCCGGCAGATTTGAGTTGGTGTGTAAGGTTTCAAACTCGATCAAAGTAGGAGCGAAGACTTGTTGTTGGGTCCATCCGTGTAGTGATGAGATCCCGGAGGAGAGCCACTTGTGCATGGTTGCCCATGCAGTCGAACCGCGCCATGATGCATCCCCACATATCCTTTGTCGTGTTGGCTTGAGCAAGAGTGAGCGATAGTTGAGGATGGACGGCTGACATGAGAAGATAGTATGAATGCTCCTCTTTTTCTTCATCCGGCAGCGAAGCAATCGAATGGGCTGTCTTAGGGGCTGCACCGCTGTTGCCTTTGGTAGTCTCTCCACCGCTGGTTGTGGAAGAGGAGATTGAAGGACGCGAAGCAACCTTGGGATCTCCAAGGAGGGAGATCAGCCCGAGGACATTGAAGATGTAGCAGATCTTTTTCTTCCATGGAATGAAGTTGGAACCATCTGGTTCCAAGATGGGAAGGGTGTGCCGACCGAGAGGCGTTTCAACTTGAGCCATGAAGTGTGCAACGTTCACTAAGCTAGAAGCCTTGCTCTGATAGCATGTAGAATGAGGATCGGTGAACTTGAGGCACAATGAGAGAAGAACAATATATCCTTAGTAGGAAGATGGTACAAGCCTGAAAGGCTAGAGCAATGTCCTTTCCAAGGATGAGTTCTAGAGAAGTGGGAAGCCACATTTATGTGGCTGAACTCTTGAGGCTAGCTGCAGCACCTCAAAGCTGAGGGCAGGGCTAGCCAACCTTGCCAAGCTAGCAATTGAGGCCACATGTTGCACATGTGGGCCAGGCTGGAACAACAGCCTACATGGCAGCATGTGGCACACCATAGGAGCCAACAAGGTGAGTATGGGATGGGTGGACAGATGGCAATGCCAACTGTGACCACACTTCACTGTGGGTGAGTGTGGTGGAGTGTGGGAGTGTCATGTTCGGCATAATGAGAAGAGAAGGTGCTGCCGATGAGAGTTGAACCCGCGACCACTAAGACCAAAGGTACCCACTGGGACATTCTTGCTTCCACAACAGACACAATGATGCTGCATACCAGACCAGACATGTGTGGATTCGATGGTGGTTGTTTCACCCAGAGCACCAGAATCGCTCTCTTGTTTGTTTAGCTGAAAACACTAGAGTGTGGCTCACAGGCGTGCGAGTAGGCTGAGTGCACTGATGGTAGCAGGAATCCCGCCAGTCAGCTGATTGTTTGCAATGTCCCTAAAAACAGAAAACAGCAACACAAATAAAAGAAGAAAGACCTTGAATAACTTGAGGATTGCTTGAGCACGAGTCGAACCTTGAACTGGTACGTACGACCGCAACAAAATGCACTGTGGGTACAGGTTGTTGAACCAGAATGCAACAAGTTTGGGCCTGAGAGACTTATCTGGCCTGGAAGACTAGCCAGTACATGCAGCGTATGATTGAATGAAAGTTTAACACAAAAAACTCGTGGAGTAATTGAGACTTGAAACGACCGTAGAGTTCCAAAAGTGTGTGTCAAAGCAAACAGGCACAGCCAGCGCGACTCAAGAGGGTGCGGGTCCGGTTTAAATTTTATATAATTATTATTACTATGTGTATGGACGCATTCGTTTAGAATAAAAGGGGACAATCAAATTGTGCAGTGATGTATCGAGGTCGGAACTGAGCAGTTCCATTCCAAGTTTCCTAGAAGAAGTGGAGTGAACGGCTAAAGGTTTCTCACAAGGACTAGGGTAGGAAGATGAGGTGAAGGGAAAGCAATGAGAAGGGGGGAGCAAGGATTTGACAAACATAATGCTGCGGTTCACACGCGAGGTAGGTAGACGACACCTAGATCGCACAATACAAAAGAAGAAAACAAAAAATAAGGAAAAACGAAGACGTTCCGAAGAAGGATACTGGCAACACCACCTCAGAGACGCTTACAGTCGAGACACTGCAGTGAGTGCGCTGATGGAAGCGGGAAGGCTGCCACTCAGCGTATTGTCTGACAAGTCTCTGAGAAAGGCCAACAGTGCAGATGAGGAAGGAAAGTTAGCCCCAAATCTAGTTTTGAGGCACCTCAAAACTAGACTTCGGCTTATTGTCTATCCGACAAGTCCCTGAGAAAGGCAAACAGAAAACAGTGCAGACAAGAATAGTTCACCTCATCACCTCAAAAAAAAAGAGGTAGACAGAGAACATTGGTTGCAGGCAAGAGGAAATGTGGGATAGAGGTGAAGAAGAAGGAGAAGCAGGAGGAGGATAACAGAGGAGCAGGACATGACGAAGGGAGGTAAAATCCGACAAGGATATAGCTGTGGAGAAGGACAGGGGAGAGAGGGACTCATCAGCACAGAAAGAGGAGAGAGGAGAGAAGAAACGGGTGGGGCCTTACAGGTACGACAGTTTTGTCCATGAACCAACACCTGAAGGAATATTACCACTGAGTAGATTGTTGTTCAGTTGCCTGTGGCAACCAGGATTGTTGAGACCCAGCAGAAGAATGCGGAGACAAGAGGAATACAGGAGAATGAGCGGTCATTGGAGCGGTCACTGGAGCGGTCATTGGAATGGTCATTTCAATTATTGGTTCAGGAGAATGAGCGGTCCACTTCACTCCAGTGGTGGTCATCCTATATATGACACTGGAGGTACACACGATATTTCAGTCATTCTTGGTTTCTTCTAAACAGCGACCTTTCTGACAGCTTGGGCGAGATGACAGCTTGGAAATGTAGGAGGTTGAAGCAAGTGACAGCGAGATGAGAAAGGCAGAGCACCTGAGGTTTAACGTGGCGGGGCACCTGAGATTCTGCACTCACACATTTGTAAGCTTTGCGAGCATGCTCATGCCAGCAGGGAAAGTGCTGGAGATCTGGTTGCTATACAGGGATCTGGGGAAGCAGTTTCAAGAAGCAACGGAAAACAGGGAGAGCAGTAGATATGGAAGTCGGAACAAAAAGGTGGGGATGTTTACACGAGGTCATGCAATGCAGGCATGATGCATGAGTGTCTCTGCTTTGCTAGCATGTTGGGCCGTTAGAAAAGCTCGTTGCTTGTTTTGTCAAGATAGGGCAGTGGCCATCTTACAGAGTTGAAAGTGCGGTGAGTTTTGATAGCGTGGAGGGCAGGGATCCTGTGAGCGAGTTGGTGCGGAGATTGCTGGTGGGGCAGGAAAGGGAGACGAAAGGTGTGGTATGACTCGTACAAGGTTTTGGAGAGGTAGACATAAAGAGGTAGACTGCTTGGGAAGGTTGTGGAATGGAAGAGATAGAATACACACACCGGTGGACATGTGAGACTTGTAGAAAAGGAAACCAGGTGGTAAAAAGCAAACTCTAGGAAAAGGAATAGAGGCGATACTAGAGCAGCACAGGGGTATACTTGAAGTGCTTACAGGGTTACGAGTTTCGTCATGGCCCCTATTGCAGCAGCGTTGATGGATCCGGTGAACTTATTGTTATAGAGATTCCTGAGAAGTTGGGGCCAAACAAGGATATGGAATGTGAGTGGGAGAGGGGATAAGGAAGCGGATTGAAGTGGGGGGGGGGGAGGGGGGGGGGGGGCATTGACAGTGTCTAGAAGGACAGGCAGCAAGTGTTACACAAGCACACGCACAAGCAAGGGCATAAACACAAGCGCAAGCACAAGCACAAGCACAAGCAACCTGAATGGTCTCCCAGGTAACGGAAAAGGTACTCGCATAACCACAGCATCTGAGACTTTCCCAGCAACTACTCAACTCACCCTTTCAGAGATTTACCATCTTACCCACTTCAATCATGTGCGGCTCACAGGGTAGTGAGAAGAGAGAGTGTGCTCAAACTAGAAAAAATGGATCCTGTGAGCAGGTTGCTTGAAAGATCACTGCGCGAGGCAACCCAAACGCAGAGGAGGTTGATGAAGGGCTGATGGTTTTGAAAAGGAGAGGTGAAAAGTATGTGCATCACACAGGACAGAAGAGGAGATAGCAAACGAATACATCGTACCTTAAAACCGGAGGTCCAAGAGTTTCTAACTTAGGAAGGTTTCTTGGGGTAAGAAACGTGACTGGCTCGCGAGCCAGGGTGGTGTCAAAATCGGTGGTCGCTGGTCGCAAAATTTGAAAAATCTCGCGAGTGTAACTAGATTCGGAATGCAACATCAGAACTCGTTCGCAGGCTGTTTCAGACGGGTTTCAAATTTGTTTGCAAAAATCGTCACTGCTATCGTCCTCACTAGTACAGTAGTTTTGCTTGGCGAAAATTGTCCCAACAATATGCGAGGAGAGCTCGGTATCTACTGGGTCACACCCAACCAAAGTTAGGAAGGTTGAGGCAGTTTCGGGCTGTTTTGGACTCCGGTTTTTATGGCATGTTCAACCAAAATCAAGCTCCACATGGTGAAGTTGTAGTAGCAAAACAGGAACACCCTTTAGGAGGAGTAAATCAGATGATTAGTTTTACAGTTGTGATAGCTTGTTCAGCGCGCTCATTTGAGGAGGGATGTTGCCTGTGAGCTGGTTCGTGGCAAGATTCCTGTCTCGGAAAACGAAGGGGGTGCAACAGAAAAGGAAAGTAAGTGGCAATGCCAACAGAGAAAATGCTGGAAATATGATCAACAAAAAAACTGAGCCCATGCCAGTCTGAACCAAAGTGCGCATCTATCCATAGTGTGCCCATGCTATGCTGTTCTGCGTCTCTTGGAGGGGACATGGGATGGCTGGATGCACGACAATATGCCGAAATTTGGTGAATGCATGTACGGGGATAGATCTTGTCACGTGACAGGTCTCATGAGTGCTAAAGACGAAGGAGCAGAAGCAGGTAAGCAATGCGTGAACGCGAGATTGGTTACATCGGAAGGGAAGAGCATGAGGAGCAGGCGAGCAAGATAGTTACAAGCCTGACCCATGCAAGGATGAGGCATGGGAACATGAGGCTTGGGATAATGAAGCATGGAAGCAGCAGGAGGCGTCAGAGAAAGAACAGGAGGCGGCAGAGAAGGAACAGGAGGCGGCAGAGAAAGGAGCACGATGAGGCGTAAGAGCAGGAGGCTTACGAGAAAGAGGATTAGGTGTAAGAGGGAGAGAGGCGGTGTCAAGAGGAAGAGCAAGGGAGTAGGAGGAAGAGAAAAGTAGTAGGAGGAAGATCAAGGGTGTAAGAGGAAGTGTATGAGGCATAAGAGGAACAGTATGAGGTGCAATACGAAGGGCATGAGGTGTAAGAGAAAGGGCATGAGGTGTCAGTCAGGGGAAGGGCTTGGGGCATAAAAGGAAGAAGTGTACCAATATGTAATTGGTGAAGTCCCAAGAAGAGCAAGTGGGAATCTTACAGAATCGATAGTGAACTGAGACCGGAGATTGAACTGGGGATGGTTCCTGAAAGCGCGTTGATGTTGAGATTGCTGTTGTTTTGGAACGATGCAGAGACACACACAGCAACAGCAGAGAGACTCTCATTCAACTGCCGAGCTTTGAGGCGCCTCAAAATTCGATGCAGAGACACACACAGCAACAGCAGAGAGATTCTCATTCAACTGCCGACTGCCGAGCTGTGGATGAGGCAGGAGGAGCTTGCATGGCATGATGAGATGAGAACACAAGAGAGACGCCTGGCATGCATGCACTGCAGGGTGATTTTGAGAATTACGTCTGGCATGCATGCAGGGTGTTTTTGAGAATTCTCAAAGACGCCTGGCATGCATGTAGACATGAGCAACTGACCGAGTCGAGTTTTACTCGACTCGGTCTGGCTCGAGCCCCGACCGAGTTTGAGCTCGAGTCGGGGGAAACTCGACCGAGTTTTTTCTCATGATGATGGACTCGAGACTCGGCTAAATAGGGCTCGAGTGTTAAAAAACTCGACGGACTTTTCTCTTACACTCGGTCGAGCCGAGTTTTACTCGGCTCGGGGGGGGGGGGGGGGGGCGGTGGAAACACCAAACCTTTCCTAAACCTAACTTCAAAAGGGAAAACCAGCCACGAGTTTGGCTGTCTATGCTCAGGTTTCCACTTACAAAGGGCTTAGAAAGAGGACTAACTGAAATCGCGATCTAAAAAGAACCCCCCCAAAGTGAAATTCTTAGAATTTGTCCGTGCTGCCAATGTCGCGACCGAGTTTTTCGTAAACTCGCTCCAGCCCCAAAAGCTCGTCGAGTCGGCAAAAAACTCGATGTGGGGCCGAGCTTTCACCAAGCTTTTTTTAAACTCGACGGGTAAAACTCGACTCGACTCGGTCGAGTTTTTTCAGAGGATTTGCGGACTCGACACTCGACCCGTGTCGAGTCCCCCGATCGAGTCGAGTCGAGAAACTCGACTCAGTGCACATGTCTACATGCATGCAGGGTGTTTTTGAGAATTCTCAAAGACGCCTGGCATGCATGCATGGTGTTTTTGAGAATTCTCAAAGACGCCTGGCATGCTTGCACTGAGTGGAAGACCAGACAAGGTGTGATGGCTGCTGCAGACCAAGCATGAGCAGGAATGCGGACAGGCAACAAGGCACATGAAGCGAGGCGAACCGTGCTGTGACTGCTGACTGACCTAGGGTTGAGCATCCAGGCAAACATCTGTTGGGTTCGCCTTGAACGTGTTCGTATTCACCCGAACACATACGTGCTCGGTTCGTCTGGACCTTTTTGAGGTCAACGGCTGCCCTTTGTCGATCTCATTTTTTTGTTCGATTGTAAGCTAAGTCACCTACCACAGCCTAGACTCCTAGCATCAGCCCTAAGCTTACCTTAAACTCTACCTATTCAGGTTGGCTGGCGCAACCTTTTTCTTCTAACCTAGACTAGTTTAGGTTTGTCACCAGTATGGTTTAGGGCGTTTTAGGGAAGAAACAAGCAGGAAACCTCTTGGCTCTGAGAGCGTTTTAGGGCGATTTTAACTTCACACGCCAGGAAGGCTGAATCCCTCCCCATAGTCTGGTCGTTGTGACTATAATGAGGGCTGTTGACAGGCGAACACAATCATGTTCGCCCGAAAATGTTTGTGCTCGGGGCGAACAGGGGAACTGGCGAACTGGCGAATGGCGAACAGGGGAACAGGGGGAACTGGCGAACAGGGGAACTGGCGAACACGGGAACAGGGGAACAGGGGGAACTGGCGAACAGGGGAACAGGGGAACTGGCGAACTGGCGAATGGCGAACAGGGGAACTGGCGAACAGGGGAACAGGGGAACTGGCGAACAGGGGAACAGGGGAACTGACGAACACGGGAACAGGGGAACAGGGGGAACTGGCGAACAGCACTTTTCCAGAAAGTGTTCGCCGCTGGGAGACCACGAGCATGTTGGCCCGTGTTCGCCTCGTGCTCAAGCCTAGACTGGCCCACCAACCATGAGCAGGTAGGAAGAACTTGAAGTTTGGATGGGACGGGCGGGCGGGGCGGGAGCCAACCAAGCGGACGATAAGAACAGGGTGGTAGGGTGGGAGAGTGGAGGAGTAGAGGAGTGGAGGAGTGGAGGAGTGGAGGAGTGGAGGAGTGGAGGAGAATCTCAACAGGCGACTGACATTGCGGGCGTGGTGCCCATGAGTTGGAGTATAGAGCATGGAGAGCAGAGCAGCAGGAGCAAGAAGCCTCACAGGGTCGTCAGGCTTGTGAGTGCCCCAATGTCAGACGGAATCTTTTGAGGCGCCTCAAAATACACCTCGCCTTTTGAGGCGCCTCTAAATACACCTCACCTTTTGAGGCGCCTCAAAATACACCTCACCTTTTGAGGCGCCTCTAAATACACCTCACCTTTTGAGGCGCCCCAAAATACACCTCACCTTTTGAGGCGCCTCTAAATACACCTCACCTTTTGAGGCGCCTCAAAATACACCTCACCTTTTGAGGCGCCTCTAAATACACCTCACCTTTTGAGGCGCCTCAAAATACACCTCACCTTTTGAGGTGCCTTAAAAGACACCTCACCTGTTGAGGTGCCTCAAAATACACCTCACCTTTTCAGGCGCCCCAAAATACACCTCACCTTTTGAGGCGCCTCAAAAGAGCAAGAAGCCTCACAGGGTCGTCAGGCTTGTGAGCAATCCAATGTCAGACGGAATCCCGCCCGTGAGTGTGTTGTTGCTTAAAGCCCTGCACGGATAGGTGAAGTTACGGTTGTATAATGGAAAGGAGGAGCAAGGTGTGAGGAAGGACTCCCATGCCACAGACTCCCACTTCAGGTAACACCATTAGGTGTATGTAACCCCTTCAGGTGCAGGTACCTCTTCAGGTGCATGTAGTCCCTTCAGGTTCAGCCCGCCGAGGAAACGTTTTTTAACGGACTCAAAACAGGTGCAAGACGCCGGGTCCTTCGTGCACAAGGAAGGAAACGACAGTCTTCTGCCCGGTTGACAACCGCAAGGCAAATTTAGCAATCCGGGATCGGTCCTCGGGGGCGGTGTGGTGTGGGTGTGTGATGTATCATGCAATGGTAACCGACCCGATCGGTGCGCGCCCACAGACCGATCCTGGATCGGCCAGTACGCGTGGCCCCAACACGGTCAAAGGGAGAGGCTGGGCGGGCGGCGAGCGAGAGAGACAGCGGCAAAGAAAGTATCCTTCTGTCATGTACCGCGACTCGACGGCTCCTTCTGTCGGACGGATTCTTCTACCCAGTAGTTCCCACCCCGCCTATCTTAAGTTGCTCACCGAGCCAGCCACCCGCAGACACCTCAACGCCGCCCCGACAACTTACCAGGCGGCGAAGCTTCTGCACTGCACGGCACCGATTTTGCAAGCGCTGGTCGCTAGGTAGAGCTGCAACATGGGCGAGCCGTTGGTCACATGACGAAGTGTAATGAATGAGGCGGCCCAGGCGGATAACTTGCCACCACCAGTGGGCGCCACAAGAGAGAGCACGTTCCTCGGGAACTGCCTGGCAATACTGGAGCCAGTCTTGGAGCTCCCCTGGGGGCCTCGGCAAGAGGGGAGTTTCTTTTTGTTTTATCTAGTTTTTGTTTAGCTTTGTCGTCTGCTCGTTTAGTATTGCCGCAAGACCGTGACAATGCATGTCTGTAGTATCCTTATGCTTAAATCAAAGCAAGGAAGGACCATTGAAGGAGACCGGACATGGCAGGAGCATGAGCGGTGGTGTGCCATCACTCACAGGTGTTTCAGCAGGCTGAGTGCAGTCACGGTTGCAGGAATGCTCCCTGTAGCCTGGTTACTTCCAATATCACTGAGAGAATGATGAACAAGGAGGAAGAAAAGAAGGGCAGGAAACTCTCAGTCAGGATTGGAGTTCAACCGAAACAGAGACGAGCAGGGTATTGCTAAGCTAAGCAAACTCCAGCCACGAAACATGCCCACCATCGTGACCACCTCGTTCCGGCCTGCGTCACCAGACTGACAAGGCGCCGTGCTATGCCATCTAGCAACAGTGCTGAGATCGGGGCACCAACTGCAGCCTCGCAATGTCTCCTACCACCAATAAGTGGTGCTCTTTGAGTCAAGCAACAGTGCTGCTGCTCGGTTGTCCAAACTGCGGTCGTCTATTCAAACATGCGGCGATCTCCCCACGACAGAAGCCCATAGTACCCACATTTTCGTAAATAACAGCTTCGCTGTGGTGTGGATGGTATGGATGGTTGTGGAATACACTTCTATTCAAAAAGAACTTAAGCCGAGAAGCTACTGCTGCTGAGGACGTACAATTGAGTCATCTTGTTGAGAAGGCTGATGGTGCTAGGAATCTGCCCTGCCAGCTTGTAGTTGCGCAGTTGCCTGTTACATTGTGCCATTCATCACGGTATGACATTTTGTGGCACAGCGGCAGCCATAAGTAGAACTCATATCAGGCAGCAAGAACAGCAATTCCAGGCCACCCATCAACTCGCACGCGCCGCCATCTCTCTCTCATCAACTCGCACGCGCCGCCATCTCTCTCTCATCAACTCGCACGCGCCGCCATCTCTCTCTCTCTCATCAACTCGCACGCGCCGCCATCTCTCTCCCATCAACTCGCACGCGCCGCCATCTCTCTCTCATCAACTCGCACGCGCCGCCATCTCTCTCTCATCAACTCGCACGCGCCGCCATCTCTCTCCCATCAACTTGCACGCGCCGCCATCTCTCTCCCATCAACTCGCACGCGCAGCCATCTCTCTCTCATCAACTTGCACGCGCCGCCATCTCTCTCTCATCAACTCGCACGCACCGCCATCTCTCTCCCATCAACTCGCACGCGCCGCCATCTCTCTCTCATCAACTCGCACGCGCCGCCATCTCTCTCTCATCAACTCGCACGCGCCGCCATCTCTCTCCCATCAACTCGCACGTGCCACCATCTCTCTCTCATCAACTCGCACGCGCCGCCATCTCTCTCCCATCAACTCGCACGCGCCGCCATCTCTCTCCCATCAACTCGCACGCGCCGCCATCTCTCTCCCATCAACTCGCACGCGCTGCCATCTCTCTCCCATCAACTCGCACGTGCCGCCATCTCTCTCCCATCAACTCGCACGCGCCGCCATCTCTCTCCCATCAACTCGCACGCGCCGCCATCTCTCTCCCACCAACTCGCACGCGCCGCCATCTCTCTCCCATCAACTCGCACGCGCCGCCATCTCTCTCCCATCAACTCGCACGCGCCGCTATCTCACACCAATCATCTCACTAATCGAAGTTTGTCAAATAAAGCGTCACCTTCATCCACCTCATTTGCATAACCTCAAATTTACCGTCGTAACCCAACCCACTGTCCCAAACTCCGCGTATCAATCCACTGCCTCGTTCCTTCCAAGAATCCAGAAGTACCCTCTCAGATCGAACCTCTCAAAGTCTACCCATCTCAAGTCAACCTCTGGGCACCTCAACTTTACCGCCTCAAACTCACTGCATCACTCCCATTGGCTCACTCACATCATCACAATAAAGCCGGAGGCGTCGCATGTGAGGCCGGTGGCAGTTGTGCATTCTGGTGCTGTGCCACTCCACCCAGCGAACGTCTGCCCCCATGCCGTCTGGCATTGCTGCATGAATGTTACTGTAACCGCGTGGCAGGGGGGTGAGAGGGGGAGAAAATGACTCCAGATACTAGAGTTGTCATGCCATGTGGATACCGCAGTAGCTATTACTACAGTGCATTCCGAGGCACGAAATCTACTCCCATGGCGACGCCGTCTTTCCTTCCCCTGAGCCAACCCGTGCAATGCGATCCCTCTCCCCCAGCCCCGGATGCTGTACTAGTTGTCATCAGCAAAGGCCATCTGCCTCTTGTAGCCGTTGATTTCCTGCCGCTCCTTATTACTCGGATGACCTACTTGTACTACTATAGTAGTAGCCTGGGAGTGCCGCGGCTGGGGGCAACCAGGACGGTCCAGCGCCCCAAATTCGTTTGAGTCGGAGCTGCTACTAATACTTCCATTGACTACGTAATACTACTACCAGGCGCGAGCGCCGCACTGGGTGGCCGCCTGCGCCGTCCGTCTGAAATGCCGCCGTCTGAAATGCCGCCGTCTGAAATGACGCCGTCTGGAATGCCGCCGTCTGAAATGCCGCCGCACAGGGTGAGCGCCTGCGGCGTCCGTCCGTCTGAAATGCCGCCGCGCTGCGCGGGCAGCTGCGGCATTGCAAATTCCCTTGATCACTCGCATCGCGCGGCGCGGCCCTGCCGTCAGTGGCGCCGCGGCAGCGCCGTCTATTGTGTGGCGGAATCATATCTATGTATGCGCGACGCGTGGATAGGTTTATTAGTACTACAAAGTCACACTAATGAATACTCAACAGAATTTCGCAGCGGGCGGGCGACCTACTCCCCGCATTCACCTTGCGTGGATGAGATCGGCACGGTGTTGACAATCGCGACGCGGGTTGTAAGCACGGCCAGCCACGCAAGTAGCAGCGCTGACCGCGTTGCGCTCTCGCGCCGCAGGCGCGCCATCAGCAGCTCGTCGTCGTCGTTCCCTCGTCGATTTTACAATCTAACGGCGTCGATTTTACTATTTAACGGCCCCTAAAAATTGTCAGCTCGAAATTGCTAGGTAGCAGTCGGATGACAAACAAAAAGTCCTGGTTTTGTCACAGCATTTGGTTGCTGCATGCGTTGCTTTACTGAAGTGCAACGTTTGAGAGCACTTGGGGATAGACTTCAAAACGTTGCTCCAGTGATCAGGAGCCTTGCTTATTGGTGGGACTGTATATACTTGTGAGTGAGCTGGAGAAACTGGGATGACAGAAAGCACAACCCATGCGAACAGTATGATCGCCCAAGTGAGCATTCAATTACACTTCGATGGAGCCTTTTCTCCTGAAACAATTAGGTGGACCCTGACGTCCACACGAATGCATCTTGAGGTACCAGGTAAGATTGCGTGGATGCAGTAACATTCCCGTCGTCTTTTCGCTGCCATCCTACGATGGTTCACAGGCAAGTGCAATAAGAAAAAAAATGTTGCACAAGTATTTACAGAAATAATACATTACCCTTTAGAACTACATTCCGACGACTAGAGTAATGCGGTATGCGGTGAAGCTTAGCATCCAGCGTGATTAATGCACCTGCCAATCTATCGCAAAGAAAGTGTAAAAAGTTGACCTTTACCGTTTGGCTTGCATACATTATAAGGTATGGTCTTCTGAAGCCTTCCAAAGGCAGCAAGCCACGTGTGGAAGCTTTCGTATCAACTGCCGAGCGTAACCAATAGGGTTTCTGTCTCAAGCAAAGCGGTGGTGATGAAGTGAATGAAATCAGGTTTGCCAGAGGTGCACTCCACAAATATGGATGGCGGAAGCCTCTCATCTACCAGCCAACTCGAAGGCTCCTCCACCACACATTCCGGTACATAGTGGACCATTCATTGGGCCATTCTCCCATAGTGGTAGCAATTTGTGAACGTGTTGACAAAGCTTGGAACTGTGCTTTCGCAAAGGTTTTGGTTGACAGACGACTCGTCGTAACCAATGATATTTTCCAGCTTTCCCTTTGAGAAAAGGGAAGTACTATTCTTCTAGTCTTCAAAGTCTGACTGCGATTGATGGGTGGCACTTACACCTAAACAGCACTTGCCCCAACCTTCAGGCAGAAGGTGGCAAATAAAGGCCAAAGGTATGCATATAAATTCCCTGACGAACAAAAGTGACGGGTGTTTCAGGGCTACAGAAATACAGAAATACATGGAATGTCCAATTGGAGATCCAGCCCCGGTCACACATTGATTGTGAATCAAAAGGATGTCCAACCGAGGTCTGGACAGCTAAAATTGTTGATGCTATGTGGTGGAATGGCTTGGCGTTGAAAAGAAAATCGATAGTAGTTCAGGTTTAAAAAGAATAGTCAATAACTGTAGAACAAGCACCCGTGAGAAATTTAAACCTTCCCTAGAGCGTAAAGGGCCTATTTGCGGGACCTCAAGATTTGTTGGGGTGCCTCCACACCAGTTGGATTGGCAGCCCGAAAAATAGACTGAACTGTAGCAGGCATGGCTCCTCTGAAAGTACGACGCATGTTGGGGAAATATGTCGTATTCAGCGCTGCCAAACCCACGTAGAACTGTAGGTTCGTCGAGGAGGAAACCCACGCGAAAAATGAAACAGATTCCTCGAAGCAGGACAACGAAATAATCGCGCGACGCGACGATTCTCGAAATTGTTTTAATCCTGTCGGCTACCCTCGACCGCGCTACCCGATTTTTGATATTTCTAAATCTTATGGACTTTTACATGCGCTTTCGTGATAATGGCATAAACACTCTCGACAAAGTTTGTGTCGGATTTGTTGGACGACACATTCTTTAGTCAGACATGGTTTACCCTGAATACGCAATAACCGTTCAGTCAATTGTTTTTTAAGGCTATAAGGTTATGCAAGGTGTTATATATCTTCAATATGACATACTTTTCAATCGTATTCGGAACTGAAAAAAAAACACTGAACTTAATAATAAACTGCTTCACACTTCTACGATATTTAATTAAAGAGAAATACTATGTTTTCTTGCATAATTTTGCAAAATTGCATTTCTTGAGGCAACACACAAAACCTATTTGAAGATGCCTGTGAATTTGTGGGTTGAAAATACCCGTATTTTGCTACATTTGAGAATTATAGTCCATGCTATAATATTTTCTAGTCCGATGCAGGATTCCTGTTGCCTCATTACGGCTGGTCCTAATGTATATTATAATACGACTTTGTATTTTTTTGAATCATTCTAGCCCTGAAATATTTACCCGTTTTGTCAGCACGAACAATTTGAATCATTAATGCAACTGGTCAACATGACAACTCGTACAAAGGGGGTGCATTTATTGCATATGGATATCGTCAAATGTGTTCTTAACAAAAAACAAGAAATCAAAGGGATCCGAAATTGTTGATTAAAAAATACACAGTCAGACCAGACCGTAAAAGCGGGTGTAGAGCAAGTTGCGCTCTAGGGGATTGAGAGAATTGAATAAATGGGGAGCGCGATGCGAGGTTAGTCGACAGGATTGAGCAAAATGTGAAACCTGTCGCGGTCGCGCAATTATTTCTAGGACAACACTCTGTCTTTCCCTCTGCTTGGTTTGTAACCTCAGAAACTTTATCCAGCCTGTTACATAGCAGCAGGAATGTCTTGTACATCCACTTTCTCGATAGACTGGCATATGTTAGACTGACCAAGACGCCAATTGTAACCACAACGGACCAAAGAATGTCCTATCACATGCGCTATAGTGACAATCTGACACGAGGCGGTAAGTCAGGGTTTCAAACTTTATAAAATGGTACTGTCGTTTTCGAAACGGTTGGGACGGCTATTCAGCGTTAACGGTTTTTCACTGCCTAAGGCTTAGGGTGCATTGTTGGCTGGTGTCAAGCTTCGCGTTATAGGTAGTTTTGACACGATGCTGAGCACACCGGCTTTAAGTCAACAATATTCAAGCGGTGGGCGAATTTTTCGCCATGGTAATCCGTCCAACTTGACTATCGTTAAGTCGCGTAGGCACGTTTACACCAATGAAAACGACGTCGTGCGACTGTGCGAAGTGTTTACGACCAGTCCGTACATTGCGATGTCGCAAAAACCTGCTGAGTGCGCGACTAGTTTTCTCGTTGCGACATCGCAAACGCGCATCAAAATCGCATAAGCGATTGAGTGGAACCAACCTGTTGGGGTTTCGCGCCTCGATTTGTGCCTCAAAATCGCGCATCTGAACCCGAATCGCTGGTTAATCTAGGTGGACCAATCAAATTTCGAGTTTGCACTCACACTCGCTATTACTACCCACAAACAACGTTGGCAATCGTAGACACAACCGTCAATTTGTGGGAGGCTGACCCGAAGCCTGACACCAGCCAAGAACGCATCCTTATAGTGAAAGCATCCATCAAATCCATTAAAAAAATAAATTTAAATAAAAAAAACTGCCCAAGGCTTGTTTTGTCACCTCGTTCAACTTTGCCCGCAACCGAGTTATCGCACCAGCCCTCTACGTCCAAACTCTGTAGCCAGTGCGCGCGATTGTGAGAAGGGTGAAATATAGGGTGTATGTCAGTAGAGCTACACTGTGAGATCCCCGATCGATCCTAGGGAGGGTTACAGGCGCGTTTGCCTGGGGGGTTATGGGCGCACTGACCCGCTACTGAAATAAGCCCCTTTATCCCAATGGTCTAGTGGTTGGGATTCTGACATGGTATCAGAGCGGTCTCGGGTTCGAATCCCGATGTATGCACATGTTGTCCGTTGCCACTGTGCTCACTCCTGAGCCTCCCTGTGTGGGGGGGTGTCAGTAGAGCTACATTGTGAGATCCCCGATCGATCATAGGGAGGGTTACAGGCGCGTTTGCCTATAGGGCTATGGGCGCACTGACCCGCTACTGAAACAAGCCCTTTTATCCCAATGGTCTAGTGGTTGGGATTCTGACAGTGTAGAGGTTTTCCCGACAAACTAGGTGGCTTCAGGACTCGGGGCAAAGTATACCTTGCCCTCCTTGACAGGAATTTGTCTACTGCATCGCTCTCTACCCCCTACAACGTTGGTAGTTTTGTAGGTTCATTTAAGACACTCAGTATATGATTTTCCGCTGCGAGTCACGACTTGTAACAACAAACACCCCTCAACTTCTAGAACTCGGATCCGTCAGGACCCCCAAAACAAATCGAGAGTCCTGGACGTCACACTCTTCTCCAAAAGGGGAAAATCACAAAGGAAACACACAAAACCCACCACACTCGTACCAAACAAGAATGCCACGACAGTCCGCCCACTCCCCAAGACACTACAAAGGGGGACCTGTTCTGTCTTGTACAGTTCAACTCTAACAGCACACGTTGTGCACAATACGCTGCGATCGGAAAAAACACTAAAGCTTATTTGACTCTGGTACAACTGATTTTCAGTCAAGCACCGACTCGACGCACCGTACGTTACAAATGACAGGGCCAACGGCCTTATTGTTTCAAGCCCACACTCAGTGCAGTGTTACGACCACCGCTTCCGTGATTTGTGGATGGCAGAATGTCTGCAGTATATTTGCAAACATTTTTTCATCTCAGAAAAGGCAAGTGAGAAAAGTCACAGAAATGCGACTTTCCCATGACTTTTGCGTGACATTATTGCGTCACGGAAAAGTCATGGACAGAAGTGCCAAGTGAAGTCACATAAACATAACGTAGGAGTTCCGAAATTTCGTACAAAAAGTCCCTTAAATGTGCCTGGCAAGGTGATGTTCTCGTCACTCCTCGTCATTTTTTTGTTTCGCATGCCACGTGGCGAAGTGGCGTTACATCTTTTCAGATATTTTGCCAGGCGTCCATGATGGTGATAGGCCGAAATGGACCAATCAAATGTCAGTGATGGGTGTGCCCAAACGTAATTTGATTGGCTAGCGAATCTGCACAGCGACCGCATGTCGCACACGAAACACAGCATCGCATTGCGCACGTCGAAATTTCAAAAGAGCACAACTGGGACTTCCATAGTTGTTTTTCGAAATCTCGTCATAATTTGTACATACATAGACAGAGCAACACACTCGCACATCTGGACAACTGTACGTCCATACGCACACGTAGCTAACCAGCTCTACATTGAAGCATAGTTAGGAACGAAGCCGACCAGATGAGGTAAGCGGAACTTTATAACACAAGCAAAATTAATCACGGAATGGTTTGGTGCCTGCATGAATAACGCCGAACGTTATGGAACCTGAAATCAATACAACGGCAAAAAATCGTGACACGTGAGAGAGAGAGAGAGAGAGAGAGAGAGAGAGAGAGAGAGAGAGAGAGAGAGAGAGAGGGAGGGAGAGAGAGAGAGAGAGGGAGGGAAAGAGAGAGAGAGGGAGGGAGAGAGAGAGGCTAAAAATAACGAGAGCAGCTCGAAGGATAGAACTGGCGACGACGTGACAGCTCCATCGTCAAAGATACTCACGCCCTTGAGATACACAAGCCAGATTGGCAAAGGGCACCTCGCTCAGCTCCAACGCTCCCTCGCACAGCAAAGGTTGTGGTGAATGGAGCCTCGTGCGAGCCGGTCTGCACGACATGCCCCCGCTGCAGCACGGCGATGCAGTGCGCACGACGCACGGAGAGGCGGTGGGCGACGACGAGCGTGGTGCGCGCGCCCATGAGCGCATTGAGCGCAGCCTGCACCACCTGCTCGCTCTCCGCATCCAAAGCTGACGTCGACTCATCCAGCAGCAACACCCGCGGATTCCGCAGAATCACCTGCGCGATCGCCACGCTCTGCTTCTGCCCCCAGACAGCTGCGTATCTCGCTCCCCTCCCTGCGTCTCGTAGCTCTACGAGGGGAGGGGGAGGGTAAGGAGAGAAGAGAGAGGTTAAGATGCGAGTGAGAGCCCGGGGCATGGGAGGTGGAAACGGAGGGTAAGGGGGAACGGAAAACAGTCTGAGGAGCAGAGGTAAGATGTGAAGATTAGAACGAGAGAATGATTGAAATCTGGAATAGTTGGGTACAAGTGCTAACCCTAATTGGGTTGTACCCCTTATAGGCTACCCCACTACAGCCTACACAAATGTATAAGCTATAATGTTCTGACACACCCCCATAGGCAAAGTGGGGGAGAACAAGTGGTCACAAGACCAGTCAAGCAAAGCAAAGCAAGCTCAGGGTGGATCACAAAGTCACCACACAGTCCGAGCACAAGAGTAAGGCCACAAGGCCAGTTCACATGCAAGATCATATATATAAAGGTAAAGAAGCAAGTGCAGGTATAGAAAGAGGACAGTACAAACAAGATCAAGAAGTGAGCAAGTGAGGCCAGGTAGGCACAAGACCTAGCAAAGTACGGAAGCGCTGATGATCACAAGGCGGAAGGGCCTTGGTGAAGATATCAGTAGTGTTGGCCTCAGAGGCCACGTAGGTGACGCGGAGCTGACCACGCTGCTGCAGCTCACGAGCCAGGAAGTAGCGGAGAGCGATGTGCTTCGTTCTGTGCTCCAGTCTATGCTCCCGACACAAGGCCAGCATGGCCTTGTTGTCTACGTACACAACTGGAGGAGAACAAGGCGTCTCTCCTAGGTCAGCCAGCAGGTAGGTGAGCCAACGTAGCTCCTGTGCTGCCATGGCCCCTGCGTAGATCTCAGCCGCATAGCTGGAGCTGAGAACAGAAGACGAGCGGGTAGACCGCCACAAAACAGAGCCGGAGCCAAGGCTGAAGGTGTAACCATGTGACGACCGCTGCAGAGCCTGGTCGTCAGCCCAAGAAGCGTCAGCGTGACCTGTGACGACCACTCGACGTCGCCCTCCAAGCACTAGCCCCATGCCCGACGTACTGCACACGTAGCGCAACACCCACACGTAGGGCAGACGCAGCAGTCGACTCAAAGGAAGGGTCAGTAACAAGAGTAGCAAGAAGACGCGTGATCGAAGGACTAGCAGCACGAAGGGAGTCATACACCGGGTCATCAAGAGTAGGAAGAGAGGACTCTGGAGGAGACGGCAACGGGACACGAAGAGGGGCAGTGGAAGGACGCAGTGCCATCTGGTGTGTGCCTGGGACTGTAGGAGGATGCGGACGCGTAGCACGACGACTAGTGCAAGCAGCACGAACAGGCGACGCAGGACGAGACGCCGGCTTACGACGCTTAGCAAGACCTCCAGTAGGACCAGTGTAGGGAGAAGGAGCAGGTAGAGGGGAGGCGGGCTGTAACTGTGACTGCGACTGGACAGGCTGTGGACACTCTAAGGAAGGAGCAGGACCAGGAGAGGGCGGGAGACCAAGAACCTACTCCAGGAGCGGAACGAAGTACGGCCTCGGCCGCTCAGCGCCTCCAAAACTAGCAAGGACGGCACCACTACCCCCAACGGCAGCACCAGCGCCAGCAGCACCTCCAGCTGCACCAGCGCCAACTCCAGCACCCTCAGAAGCACCACCGCCAGCAGCACCACCAGCGCCAACACCCCCAGCAGCTCCAACTCCAGCAGCACCAACTCCAGTAGGACCGTCAGCTCCAGCAGCCCCAACAGGACCCCCAGACGCACCAGCGCCAGTAGAAACACTAGCGCCAACACCCCCAGCACCTCCAGCTCCAGCAGCTCTAGTACCGCAACAGCTCCAGCAAGACCAACTCCAGTAGCCCCAACAGCACCCCCAATCTCAGCAGCATGTCTCCAGCGGCGGGCAAACCACTCGCGCAGCTCCTGTGGAGAGAGTGGCTCCCGCCTCGACGAAGCACCGCCGGCAACCACACGAGCAGACCCAGCGCCCCCAGGCTCGGCACCCCCAAGCTCCGCACTTCCAAGCTCCGCACCCCCAGGCTCCGCACCCCCAGACCCAGCACCCTCAGGCTCAGCACTCCTAGACTCAGCACCCCCAGTCTCAGCACCCCCAGTCTCAGCACCCCCAGACCCGGCACCCGCAGGCTTAGCACCTGTAGTAGCATTAGAGTCAACAGTTACCTCGACAGGCTCGACTGCGTCTACCTGGGACACACCTGACGGGGTAGGACCCTGAGGGGGGAGGGGGTCTACCGAGGGAGGACCTGGCGCAAGGAAGAGCGGCGGCAGGGGAGGGGCGCAGTGCGGTAGGGGAAGAGACGGTAGTAAGGCACCGACTCGTCAAAGGTGACTTCCTGAGAGGACAGAACACGGCGCGAGGTGGCTTGGTAAAACTGCCACCCATGCGCGTCAGGGGGGAAGCCAAGAAAGACGCAAGGAACAGCACGGGGGGACAGCTTGTCCGCATACAAGTCGCGGACAAACGCCCGAGATCCCCAGACCCGAAACGCAGACGCATCGCCAACCTTCCCGGTCCACCGTGTCAGAGGTCCACTGGTGATCCCCGATTGATCCTAGGGAAGGGTTACAAGAATGTTGGCCTGGGGGTTTATGGGCGCACTTACCCGCTATACAAACAAGCCCTTTTATCCCAATGGTCTAGTAGTTTGGATTCTTACATGGTATCAGAGCAAAGGTCTCGGGTTCGAATCCCGGTGTGTGCACTTCGGGCATCCCAGTAAGGGGGGGTGTCAGAGGTCCACTGGTGATCCCCGATTGATCCTAGGGAAGGGTTACAGGCATGTTGGCTTGGGGGTTTATGGGCGCACTTACCCGCTATACAAACAAGCCCTTTTGTCCCAATGGTCTAGTGGTTGGGATTGTGACACACCGCAAGGCGGGGGAGGTCTCTGGCAAGGAGACCCGGGGCTGAAGGTTGATCTGATGCGCGGCGTAGTGAACCGCAAACGGCCACAGAAAATGGGGGGCAGCCGAATGCATCATGGACGTACGAGCGACGTCCATGACCATGCCAATGCGGCGCTCAGCAATCCCATTTTGCTGTGGAGAGGCCAGAAGTGTGAAGGTCTGGTGGATGCCCTGCGCACGACAAAAGGCCCCCAGACGGGCAGAGGAAAACTCCCCGCCTCTGTCCGAGTGCATACGCAGAACAGGAAAGTCCGAGCCGAAACTCTCTCAGAGCTGGAGACGAGCTGCGCGGATCCAGTCGATCAACACCTCAATGACATCATCCTTGCTGCGCAAGGGGAAGACTGTGGTGTAACGCGAGTAGTCGTCAACCACTAGCAGGAAGTACCGCTCGTGCCCCTGGCCACAGACGCGGGCTGGGCCCCACACGTCCATGTGGAGAGTCTGCAGCGTAGCCTCTGTCGGAGGAAACTCGGAGGAGTGAGGGGCGGCGCGCTGTCGGCCCTCGACGCAGGGGACGCAGGTAGGGCCAGGCCCCAGAGGTAGGGGAGGGAGAGACCGAGGAAGACCAGAGACAAGGATACGGGAGGCCATGCCTCTGAGACGAGTCAGGGAGGGGTGACCAAGGCGGTGGTGCCAAAGGAGAGTCTGGTGGGACAGCAGACGACACGAGCAGGGAGCAGACTCAGGACCAGATCTGGACGCTGCAGCAAACACCTGACTTGACGCAGCTACCTGGGCAGACTCAGCAGCCGGAGGAGACTCAGTAGTAAGGGTGTACAGGCTCGACCCTGGCCGACGGGTGAACGTGGCCAAGTGTCGTCCTGTCCGAGCACACGTGCAGTGGGTCACTCGCTGACTCGCAGGAGTGAACTGGTCAACCCCCCTATCCTGTAGGTCCGCTCCAATCACCAAGTTCATAGAGAACGAGGGGAGGTAGAGACCTGACAGGGTGCCAGAGGGGGCTGCTGGGCACGGTAAGACAGTGGAGAAGCTAGCAAGGACAGGACCCCCAGAGGGGTCTGCCAGGGAGACAGCAACCGGCCGACTAAGCGGTGTAAGAGTGGTGCGGTCTTGAAAGAAGGAGCGGGACGCACCCGAGTCAAGGGTGAAGGTGTGTAGGCCTGAGCCGACGTAGTACCTGAGAGAGAAGACTCACCAGCACCTGGGGCAACAGACGCACTGGCACCTGGGGCAGCAGACGCACTGGCATCTGGGGCAGCAGACGCACTAGCACCTAGAGCAGGAGCCCCACCAGTATCTACAGCAGTGGCCTCAATGCCCGGCTCAGGCGGTACACACAGGTAATAGTCACCCTGAACACTAGTAGTCACAGAATACATGGCAACAAGGATAGCATCATAGTCAAGATCAAAGACAGCAACCCCCGCCCTAGACAGACCTCCCCAGCGAGGGATCTCTGTCGCACTGGCGACGCCACGCGTCCGTCAGGCGACCGAAGCAGCGCTGGGTGGAGTGCGGGCCTCCGCACTGCTCACCAGCTCGGTCGCCAGTACGGAGGACGTAAGTGCAGGGACCAAATCCCCCACCGCGCTGACGCGCATTGTACCACTCACAAAGCTGCTGAGGGGACAGGGTCACACCACTCCGCTGCTGCTGGCGCGGACCACCACTCTTGAGCCACTCCTTTGCGCAGAGTTGCGACCCGCTCCACCACCGCCGCCGCCAACGCCGCCTCCGCCGCATCCTCCACCTCCACCTCCTCCGCCACCTCCGCCGCCTTTGCTCCCTCCGCCGCCTCCGCTCCCTCCGCCACCACCACCGCCTCCGCCGCCTCCACTGCTGCCGCCGCTGCCGCCACCCCCGGCACCACTCCCACCACCACCCCCACTCCCTCCACTGCCTCCACCACCACCTCCACCGCCCCCTCCAGCCCCTCCAGCGCCCTTGCCCCCCTTGCCCTTGCTGGTGCGGCGTCTTCCGCTCGGGGCAGACGCAGCGCCGACTGACTCGAAGCCAACGAGGTCGGCCGCAGTAGCAGAGGCAATTGAGGGCAAGAGGGGGGAGGGAGAACACCCCTCAAAGACGGGGGTGCGAGGGTCACCACGAGAGGCTCCTACAGCGACTATGCTCTTCTCCGCCGCCAGGAGGGCCTTCTCGAGGAGGTCAGCGTTAAGAGTGGTGGGGCAAACTGAGAGGAAGTGGTCCCTGACTACGCGGAGAGAGTCAGGGAGCCGGG